AGAGATTGGATATAAACCAACAACGAGTGATGCAAACTACCGGAATTGGAACATCAACTGGATAGCAGTGGGGTTCACATGTTAACGTGAGAGGAGGCATAATTTGGTGACGGTGATCAAGGAATCGAAACGTTTGCCGTATATCTCCCGCACTTAACTTGGCTGGTGGCATTTTGTTGTTGTATTTATAAACCGATTTCATTTCTTGAAATAATACGTCAGAAAAATAACAATTAAAATAATATTGTGTTTCATCTCAACTCTCAAGACAAAACTAAAAATCTTAGGTTAGAGAAACGTAGTGCCGATTAAACGAGACAAAGTAAACTTACAGAGGTCTCTAAAAATGAGGTTTAAAATTAAATCGTGCATGTTCATATTTTTACTTTCCCCTCAACATTTCTTTAGATTTTATCATAAAACTACCATTCTCTTGGGAATTGTGTCAGTCAATTGTGACTATTTTTACAACAGAATACCATATGTATTTTACAATGCATGCAATTTTAGAATGTAACGTTATATTTTTGCTAAATACTTTCCGAGGAATGAACAAAACAATTGTTTGAGTACGCTTTCGATCTGAGGCCTACTCTAAATTTTATGGATAGGAACCTTGGAGTAGTATAAACTAAGGGTTTGCAAATTAATGAATTGTGAAAAAATCATAGGGGGCATCCTATTATATTACATAATACTCAAATTATTTGTTACAAATATATTACATTATAGCTATAACAATAGTTGTAAATAATTTTATATTCCCTTTACCTAATACAGAATTCGGTTATCACAGCACAGTTCCATACAACACGTGACACTATTAACTATATACGACTGTTTGAGGTGCTGTATGTTGGAACACAGTACATGTTGCACTGGTTTATACTAAATTATACATGTGCGATTGTACAAGTAATCTAGTCGTCAGCACAATCCGGTCCCAGAAAAGTTGAGAACCTTGTTATATATATATATTATGTCGTTCATAAAAGCCTGGTTAACCACTCTCTTTACTTCGCCATAAAACAATTATTTCACCAGGTGTTTTAGCGAATCCTTCGAACGCGCTGATCTGATTTTATAATTAATTTATGTAAGTTCTTATGGCTGCCGTCATGTATTTGATTGTACCTCATTGCGCGATTCTAGTTTCAAAACAGTTTGAAATTTCCATATTTATCCGTTCAGGAGTTTATAATATATAATGTACAATTTACCGTGAATTGAATTTAATGGTAAAATTCCTTCTGTCAAGCCAGGAGGGTACTTACCACAATCAACGCGATAACCTAACTAAAGCTTTACTGCCCGGAGAGACCTACTATAGTTGTAGGCCGTTACACATCAGGTCATGTTATCCAGATCCAAGGGATCTGTTGATAATGATAGATGGGTCCTGGTGTGCCCAATAATATGGTACTAGTAATTGGTGTGCACCGGACTTGTATTTGGTACTCTTGAATACTTTGTTCTGATCCTTAATTGTTTTTACTGTATTTATTTTTCAGTCTTGGTGCTTGGCCGCTTGAAATTTTGTAAATACCAGGTTGTATACTACATGGCATAGTGTAGTAGTTTTGTTTGTGAGCACTGACTGACCTTTGGTATTTCGGAGGTCATGGTTCGTTTGTCAGGCTGTTTATTATGTCTTGTACAGGTATTGACATAATGAACGTGTGGATGACTTTGTGTGGGGGTTAGGGAACACCTGCCCTCCTCACGGCAGATGTTCAGGTTCCCCCCTCAAACTTCTCCTGTAACTTGGGCTGATAAGTTCTTCTTACCCTGTGTATGTTTTGTAGTACAAACACTATGGCTGTCTTCAAGAGACAGACCTGTCTGGCAAGGAAACAGGGAATCTCACCTTTCACAGAGTCTCTGAGAAGGGACACCTGTGAAACCCTACGATAATGCGACTGTGCTTGTTATTTACTGCTTATATTTACTGTGTAAGATAGATATAGATAATTGAATCCTCTTTTAGCCTACCTTACTCGGGAATATTATAGCGGGTTAATTTATGACTGGGAAAATTAATAACCGGGAAAAATATAGCGGACTTTCCCAAAACCCGCCAAATTATCCCGGTCATGTATTTACCGGTGGCCGACCTTTCAAGTTTTTTTTTCAGAGGTCAACAAATTTTCAACCGAAATTTCTGTTTTTGTTACTTGTTAAATAAAAGAAGTTATTTCAATTTACAGTAATTACTGATATTACTCATAAATAGAAAAAAAAAGACACGTCTAGTATTTAAAGGAAAATAAATCTATAGCAATAATAAGTCAAATCTTCATTAAAGCGTATTCTCATTCTCATTCTCATTATCGCTAATGTCCCCTCCATTATCATTATTGATATCCCCCTGCTGCTGACCGTCAAATTCGAAGTTGTATTGTTGTCTTAACAAGACTTTCATTTTGTCCGCTAATGGGGCTACTGCTCTGAAGGTCAGCCGGAGCTTAATTTCCTGCCCACCGCTTGGTATTGGGGAAAGTCTTGGCTTTGCATATTCAACTGCTCCAGTAATCAATCCACCGTGGACCATGAAATAGTGGCACAGTTTACTCACTTCATGGGCAAGAAAAGTGAGAATCACGGTCCACCCTGAAATCTGATTTCTATAACCAAATTGTGATTTTTATAACGAAATTATGGTAGCAACCGCCAATAAAGTTACAGCCCTCCATCCACTGCTTCAAAAGTCTTCTCTAGCACATATGAGACTTCAGGTAAAATATGATGATCACCACCCCCTTGGAACCCCATAATCTGAGTCGGCGGGTTTTTTATGACTGGTAAAATTGTTGACCGGGAAAAATATGGCGGAATCTTCCAAAACCCACCACTTTATCCCGGTTATAATAATCCCGAGTAAGGTAATCAATTATTTCGTACTGTTAACTGTTTTACTCTAGCAAGTTGTTTTATATATTTCTAACTGTTATTTTATGTCGAACTGATGCCCTGTTCGGTGTCTTACAGGCAGAGAATAACTAACAAGTAACTTTTTTCTTTTTTTAACTTTAACATAACGTTTTAAATAAATACAGGATTACAACATGGACATGACAACTCGCATTACTGTTACAAACTCCCTGAAACTGGATGCGAAAGAGCACTTTAACCAGACAGCAGATGTTATCTACGGCTCTATATGCTGTCTGTGTTTCCTTATTGGAACAACAGGAAACATCGTGAGCTTCCTCTACTTCAACTCAAAGAAAAGGGACATGTCCAGTGTTATCTACATGCAGATAACAGCTAACGATGTGCTGGTCAGCCTAACCGTGTTTCCTGTTGGGTTTGTGTTCCTGTCTGAAAGAAGTGCTGGTATCGTATTCAGTACGAGTGTAGGCTGCGAAACTTGGTCTTACCTATGGGAAACAGTAGTTGCTCAGAGCAACTTCCTGGTCACGTGTCTGTCTATAACAAGAACAGTTTCACTGCTCCGACCATTCACACAACAGAAACTGAGTCACGTGATAATAGCTCCAGTAATATTCCTCGTGCTAAGACTAGCTACTATAGTAGCAGTACACTTCATAGACCAGGGTATGGAGGCCCGGTTCTACCCTCGCTTTGCACGCTGTGACTTTTATCTTAACGAGACCCTAATTAACGAAGCTATACATCACAGCTTGCTAGTCAGCACTAACTTAGTCTACACTGCTCCCGCTTTTGTTGTGGGTATAAGTTGTGTTATATCTGCTGTGTTGCTCACCAGAACAAGTGAACATGTCCAACAAAGACAGCTGCAAAAGACCAGGAACAGAGCCACAGTGACTATTCTACTGTTCGCTCTACTGTACGTGGTCTGTAACGTTCCCTTGGTTGTTAACTACATCTTGCAGACGTACGCGGTGTACAGTGACAACAAACACTGGTACTTTACGTTGTACCAGTTTGATACCCACATGTACTTCAACAATGCTATGAGGACTCTACTTCTGGCTGCTAACTCTGCTGCTAACCCGTTACTCTACTGGTGGAGGATGCCTCCTTTGAGGGGGTATATTAGGAGGATATTGGAACTGCAGAGAGAGAGGAGGAGAGGATGCCTCCTTTGAGGGGGTATATTAGGAGGATATTGGAACTGCAGAGAGAGAGGAGCAGAGGATGCCTCCTTTGAGGAGGTATATTAGGAGGATATTGGAACTGCAGAGAGAGGAGGAGAGGATGCCTCCTTTGAGGGGGTATATTAGGAGGATATTGGAACTGCACAGAGAGAGAGAGGAGGAGAGGATGCCTCCTTTGAGGGGGTATATTAGGAGGATATTGGAACTGCAGAGAGAGAGGAGGAGAGGATGCATCCTTTGAGGGGGTATATTAGGAGGATATTGCACACAGAGAGGAGGAGAGGTCCAAACTATGTCCTAGAAGGACGATCTAATTGTAATGTTGTTCATAACAACAATGTTGAATCCACGTTTTAAGCTTGAATAATTAACTAATGACTAACCGGGTTTATAATTATATATATTTTAATTATACGCGCTAATGCAGCAATGCTTCAAAGCAAACTTTTCATCATAATTTATGTCAAAATATTGCTTGAATCGTTCTATAAATTGTCGCATTGAGGCTTGAAAAGAATGGTTTGAATATTTCATTATTATTGCCCCATTATTTTTAAGTCCAGACACACATCTGCAGAAGCAGTGCGGTATTATAAAAAGGAATATATCCATAGTACTAGCTACCTGGTCAAATGATTCAACATCTAGTTCACCAGGTGCCTTGACCCCGGTAATCACATATAATTAAAAATGCGTTTTTATCTTAAATAATTTATATAATGTCTGTTTTTTTATGGCTGGCTTCATGTCTTTGCTTCTTGAGAATTGCAATAGCGCAATTTTAAATGCTAAAAGCTTGAAACCTTCGAACTTTAGTTCTGGCTGACTGATTTGAGGAACTCTAATCGGTTAATGAAAAATGAAACGTCCAAATAATTTACAAACCAAGTGACAAATGTCCGGTTATTAGAAACTCACGTCATATCAAAAGCTTCCCCGTAGGAGCTGAGAATGCAGTAATGAATGATGAGGTCTATAACCCAGACTAGCATAGTCCTGCAGGCGTCTATTAGAGTCCTGTGTACTGCTGTCAGTGACTGAGAAAGGAGGGTTTTAGGGGATAAATACTGATATAAGAGGAATTCTAGTGGGTTAGGATAATATATTCAACTCTTTGCTTCAAGTTTATTTTGAGATCATAACGCTCCAATTTTACATTATAATACAATGATAATTCAAACAGTTGAGTAATAAGATAATTTAACATGAACAGAAAAACCAACCTTGGTAACTGAAAGTCCAAAGTAGTTGTAGAATGCTATGCTGAACAAATAAGCTAATCCGAACCCCAATATAGCCGGGTTGTTCCACATCTGAAACAATACCATAAAATATATTATAAACAACTGTTAAAAAAAAGAGTCATGAAAAACATGAATTTAACTGATTCTAATAAGTCTAGCTGTATAAATTTCTTTAATTTCACTTCAACATTTTAGTATAAAATAATAATCTAAGTTATGTATCTAACCTGAGAGATGGCATCTAAAGAATTCTCATAGCTGCCATGAGGGCCATTACCAGGAATGAAGTAACATACTGGTAATACTAACAGAGTCATGAACAACACACCAAAACATCCCTCCATTCCTACTACCTGGACACATTATACATTATACATTATACATTATACATTATACATTATACATTATAAATTATACATTATACATTATACATTATACATTATAGAGGTTGTTAATTGGGGATATATGATATCGTTATTGTGTTTTCTTTGTAGTGATAGTTAATTGTAACATCACAATTAATTACACATTATAGAGGTTGTTAAACAACTTGGCACTTTATTGTGTGTTCTTTGTATTAAATACAAGTTCTTAACAAGGGATAGTTAAAAGCAAACGCCCTTAAGCCTAATCTTTCTCTAAAACGAATAATTAAATGTCAAAACTTCACTTTACTCTTTGTAGTGAGGATTAATTGTTACATCAGCATTAATTATGCTACACAGTGAGAATGTTGCCACATGATCCGTACGGAGTTATGTACTACTAGTGTAACCCTACGGCCGGGATTTCACTGCCGCAGTTAAAAAGGGTAGGAGTAATTACCCGCTGAGTCAAAACCCGGATTAGGCGAGCAATTGTATTTGGAGTGCCCTCACGTATCCAATAGTATGCTTAAAAAATTGTAATTCTTAATCAATAATCAATAGAAATTAACCCTGCACCACACCAGCCTATCATATTTGTCAACATGCATTACATTGTCGTATGAAAGTATGAACTCTCTCTACAGTCCAAACAGACCGTTTGAGCACTCCCTCCCCTAATAAGTTTATAGTATCATATGACCATGTAATATATACGCCATGTATATATACGCTACATATGCAGAGAGAGAGAGAGAGCTAGCCCCGTAACTCTTGCCGTTCTTCTCAAGCCATTTTATGTAACATATTTTGTGGTACAAAACCATCAATTAAACCACTTACCATCGGCCGATTTAAAAAAAATTTGCTTATGGGCTTCATCAGAGTTTTGTCGGGACTATACCGAAAAAACCAGTCCCGTAACTATTACCTTTTTTTTTGTATAACCGTTCGGAAATTACACACAGACAGACAGACACACAGACAGACACACATTCTGGTGTTATTAAGTTGATAACTGCTAGTATAATTGTAGCTGCCAATAATTCACAACAACACAATATAATGTATATATGAAGTATGAACGTATGGTCAGATGTGTAGAGAATACATGCCATTCGATTAATAATGTACAATGTACAATGTACAATAAGGTACATTACTACGCTGTGTACTAACCTGTATTGGCTGAACATTGTGTTTCTTAATGAATATCTCCTCCACAATCATCTGAGATGCACTAACCAGCTGAGCAGATAATATCAGTACTATTCCCAATAACATCTCCCCTGAGGAGAACAGTGGAGGGTCAATCATTTGGAACTTAAAGCGGAATGTACTAAACATATCAAGATACAACTTTAGTTAAATGTATAGTCAGTAAATAGGGTATAAACAATGAACATCACGAAAATATCTACCATCTACGTACCATGAGATACTCCATCTGTGCTGGATCCTTGAGAGAGGACAGAAGAGAGCCCCACCGTAGCTAGACCTGCCATTACTACACCCATACCTATCCAGTTAGTTGCGTACATCTTACGCTTCAGAAATATTACCTGCGAGAAAACGTAGCTTACAGGAAGGGAAAGGTGAATTTAAACAATCAAAAAGAAAATAGTCGCCGAATAGGAAATCGTGTCGCTGCTCAGTGGTCCAAGCATTATCAACCAAATCAATAATTACTGTAAATTATTATAAACTTCATTTTGATAATCAGAGAAACAAAACAACATGCCCACATCAGAGAAACAAAACAACATGCCCACCGATAAGATTCCCGCGAAGATGATGATAGCCCCACGTAACATCTGCCACACAGACGCAGGGACGTAAAGGAGGCCTATACCAGATAGTGTGGTCCCTATCAGATCACATATTGTAGGTACTACGAATATACCCGTTAATACCCGTCTGAAAATAATAATCATGATACATAATATGTAGTTATCATGGTCAGGTCACTGTGTTGCTGTTCAAGGGTTATGGTTAAGGGATCTAGACTTCATTATATTTTGAAGCATTTCAAGACGGATAACAGCACACACCTAGAAGAAAAGCAAGTTAAGAATACAAGTTAATGAGATTAAACTAACTCTGGTTCAGATTGAGTAGGGTTATCCTCATTATCCTGAATCTGATTATCCAGCTCCTTCCTTGCCCTCCTCCTCTGCCACTCGTAAACAATCAGACATATCGCCTCCCCGTAAAACATTAACAGGGTCTGGAACCAGGGGTGGTTGAACTTGTGGTTCTCTCCGAAGATCCCACGTGCACTTGACTGGTTCTGGGCTTTCTTGGTGAGGGTGTTGAGGGAGCCGGTGATTAGCATGCCTGCTACCAGGATCGTGGTGTACATTCTAAAGTTAGCCATCCTTGTTCTGATCATATGATTGGTTAAAAACAGATTTGTACTAGTAATTGAAAATAAAATAACTGCATAATATTAGGAATGTTATTTTTAATGTTTTACTTCTTGCGACCTTGTTAAAGTTAGTTATAACTGTCCACAAAATCAATTTGAAGTTGCAATATCGGAAAGGGAAGACTTAGACAACAGACTATTCACATTATTCGAACTTAAGTTTGAATAAACTTTAAGACAATGAATCACAAAACAATCTGACTTACAATTACACAAACAAATCATAAAAACACAAAAATCATCATTAAAAAAACAAGACTGCAAACTTTTCCCGATAAAAGAGCACAAGTATGATCAATAACATACAGTCAAGAAGATATAACCCGGTAGTATAAATGATAAAGTACAATACTGTGCATGTCTTATCTCATGGTTGGAGGGTGTAATGTTACACCTCATGCTCCTTTGGAAATTAATTCTTATTACGATATCATACTTCAGAGAGTTTATCATGTGCAAATACTCAAAATTGGGTTTCAAATACTCCCGAAATGTATGGTGTCACCTTTAATGTCAAGAGGTGGTTACTGTCACAATATGAAACTTGTAAATATAGCTTAACTTTGAGAATCCATCGCTAATTTAGCCTTTTCCATCTCTAGTAGAAACTCGTAGTATTGCTCCAAAGTCATTTCCACAGTCACATTCTCCTTTTCGTTATTCTCATCCTTCAGTTGCAGATTGAGCTGAAATGAAACAGGATTTTAAAAAAAAATATTCGATGGACTGTGTTGTGGGCGATATAAAATACAGAAAATTTGTTGGAACCATGGTAGACACAATATCTAACCTTTAGTTAGGAAAGTTTGAAGATGACGGAGCAAGAAGTTGTACCTGTAAATGTGTATCAGCTTGGTTGGACAGTTTCTTGGAGGCAACAGTTATACCCCATTTCCACTCAACGTTACATACTTCTTTTGACATAGTACAGCTGAGGAGCTTATAAATTTATAGAAATTAATAACACAATCTTACTGCAAAATGTAAATAAATTTGGCGGACTGCATAATATAAGATAGCCATAGATACATGTTGCATCATTGTGGTTCTAATAATATATGAGGGCACACCACTTGATAGTTTCATCTGAGTTCTCATCTTTCGATTCTTGTTATTTTCTAAATTGTGCTTCTAAATGCAACAACTTTCATATATTAGGTAAATTGCAATTCAATGGGAATAATAAATAAATACAGTATGATATAGTTATAAAAAAAGATTTAGAAAATGAAATTAATTAATATTGAATCTATCAAATACAATTGGTAATTAAAAACCGCATAATAAAACTGAAATTAAAACTCATTTCTTCCACCACAAACTGACACTGAAACTGACAGACAGTGACCTGACATGATGCCACCAGTGTAGAGGAAGATACAACACATCCCCCGGTCCCAAATCAGCAATCCAAGCTGTTTTATCAGCAAGGTCAGGGAAATCTCGTAGAGCATTTGGAGACTCAACGTCAATTTGACTTGTATTTTTTAATAAGTGATGCTGATGAGGGTGCATGTTGTCATGACTATCAAACATTATGAAGCGCTTGTATCCATAAACCTGACAAAATAGATTCTGATAATGATCATGATGCAGGGGGGAGACGGTTCCTTCTGGACCAAACCAACAGTTTGTAACGACATCAGATTCAGAAACAGCACAATAATCAAGAGGGGTGATGTCCTCTTTCAATCTAGTAATGTGATTGAATAGTTCATATTGGGCCAGGTACGCGACCTCATTTGAGCTTGTCAACATATAGGTTCTAATGAAGTCTTTTAATTTCAACAGTTTCTGAGACCATTGTTCGCTAGTGTATGATGAACCAATTTCGATTGGTACAGTTCTTTCACCGTGATTCTGTATTAGATATGATGGATTCCATTTTTTCATAGCTGGCCAATGATCTATGACATTTTTCATGATAAATGGGGTGCTAGGGTTTAAGAGCTCGATGAATTTCTCTAAGGATGGTGCATTGACTTGTGGAATTTCCTTATGATTTGACAAAAAAGGAAGGGGAAATTCGGCCTTTCTAACAGGTTCATGCTCGGTTTCACACAGGCTATCAATACTTACATGCTGGCTTAGGAAGTCAGCAAGTTCTTGAACAAAGAGTTCTTCCCCAAAAGGAGCTCCCATGATTAATCCCATGTCACAGGACAGTATCGCCTCTGCGATTCGATCATCCCATGAAAGATTAACACTTTTTATAAAACAAATTGATCGATAGAGCTGCCTCCAAAATACGTCAACATCTTTCCAGTGCCCAATATTGATAGTCTCCCAAATAAGATGTAATAAAATATCACAATCTTGAAGCACTTGTTTTCTAACGTTCACATCATAATCTTTAATCAGATGAGAGGTTCTCCCAAGTATTCCTCCATAGAGATCTTTTTCTTTACTGCAATAAAGTCTTGAAAATTCCTCTGCGATGACACTGCATGTAGAATAGAAGTTTGTAGCTACATGAAAGTTTTCATACGACAAACTATTAACGATCATATTGTTGACTAGCAAATAATAATTAATAAAAGCTAATTTACGGTGTAACTGATGTTTTTAAAGATAGGTATAACACGGTATTGGGAACAAATTCAAAACAAACGAATCTTATTGTAGCGCTCGATTCGTTTGAATAACAAATAGTCGCAATGGAGGGGTTGCGCGGCGCGCGACGCCAGTTTCAGTATCTAAAATTGAAAATAAATCAAAACAGTTTGTGAAATATTTTATTCCAGAACAAAAAACATTTAAGTCGCTAAAAACTGAATGATAACTTTAATATTTCATTAAATAGGAAAATTTTGTTGTTTTTAATAAAAAATTATGTCATTTAATATTAACTAGTAGTTTTGTTAACTACTCATATTGAGCTGAATTTTTAAAACATTGATTTATTATTAAACAAAATTATGTTGTAACAATAAAACGAAAAACCGTAATGCATAATTTTTGTAAAAAATGTGCAAATTTAATAATTTCATGTTAAAAGTAGTTTTTTAATTTGCGCGGCGTAGTGGTGAGGAAGTTCGTATAATATATTACATATTATGATGATCCTAAAAAGGAATCGAGCGCTACAAGCATAGCAGATTCCAGCGCACGTTGCATATTTCGAATTGTTGATCAATTTTGCTTGTTGGAATCCTTCTCGTCCTTCTATTGAAGGTAACAGCTATTAAGTACTTGAGCCTATTTACGTATTTCTTCTTCGTACGTCACAATTACAAGCTGCTTCAATCAAGCAGCAAGCTACTGCCTCGGATACGGGACCGGGCTGACTTTCAGCCAGCATTTTTCTGCTTTAATGATTTGTGTGGTTCTTGTCTTGCTGTTAATTCACGGCTGAATCATGATTCTTTTCTGTTGCCGGGCTTTTATATGTCGTGAATTCTTGCTCTTTAAACCTATCCTCTGTTAGTAAGCTACAGAATTCTGAAATGTGTGAATAATGGAAGAAGAAAAGGAACTAATAGTTGATTCCGAAACTCTCCCAATTAAGGTTGATTCTGAAACTGACCCTAAAGTTGATCCCGAAACTCTCCCCAAAGTTGAATCCGAAACTGCCCCAATGGAGGTACGGTCACTTATAACCTTCGATACGACTTTTTTTGTTGTTATTCACATCAGAAACAAAAGAGTCTACACCCTTTTATCTTACGGGTTTTTACACGAAAGGCTATTGATTCGGCCATTTATCACGTGTTCAAAGTTAACATCTCATTTTCAATCTTCCACCAGGACGAACCAGAAATCAGAAGTGTAGATTTTAAAACCACGCCAACAAAAGTAAGTAGAATTTTCAAAGTAAGTAGAATTCTCATTTGGAAATAAATAGCTTATAGCATGCACTTAAATGTTCGTTACAAATATACGTATTAATATGTACATACCTTCCCATGTGTATACCTCCTCATTTGAAGTTATGTATATTATGTAGTCTTAACTACCTCAGATAAAGTTAGATTTTAACGAAGATGAGCCGGAGGACCTAGCCCGGATAACCCCCAGCTCCCGTACACACAGTACAGACTGGTTAGATGTGGATAACACCAACAGATGGTTCACTGAACCGGCCCATCTCAACCTGAACGGGTCGAGGAGGGCTGATAATATGGTACGTTTTAGTAGATGTGGTGTTCTTAGCTCATGCTTGAACGTGTGTGATACAATATTCGCATATTTAGATTAGATGTGAGAGGTGTTTTGACACGTGACAGGGATACTTGGATTTTATTGTCGGGTAATAGCTGGCATGTGTCCAAACAGACTCGCTCCACCTCCCTGCTATTTTACACACGCTAGAGTGCCTACTGGCTGCTTTAATGGACCGGTAATCGGTATGTGACTGGTATGTTACCGGTATTTTACCGGTTTCTGGACTAGGTTCTAGACCAAGTTCTGGAACAGGTTCTAGACCAGATTCTAGATCAGGTTCTATATCAGGTTGTAGACCAGGTTGTAGATCAAGTTCTGGAGACCAGGCTCTGAACCAGGTTCTAGATCAGATTGTAGACCAGGTTCTGGACCAGGTTCTAAACCAGGTTGTAGACCAGGTTCTTTATCAGGTTGTAGACCAGGTTGTAGATCAAGTTCTGGAGACCAGGTTCTGGACCAGGTTCTAGATCTAGATCAGATTGTAGACCAGGTTCTGGACCAGGTTCTAAACCAGGTTGTAGACCAGGTTCTATATCAGGTTGTAGAACAGGTTGTAGATCAAGTTCTGGAGACCAGGTTCTGGACCAGGTTGTGCAACATTCCCAGGAATTGTGGACTGCAGACTTGTACCAGGCCAGTGCGGACTGCTGAGCTGCTGTGAATTTCTGCCAGTGTCTAAATTTTCGAGGTAACTCTAAATGTGTGCGAGGTCTAAATTCTGATGGATTGATGAGTTGCCGTCTGAAGGCAGGTGTTTTGTAAATTATAACGATAGAGTCAGGTCATCAGGTGCTCTTACTGTTGCAATGACAACAGTTGTTTTAACAGTTTTCATTTCCAGCACCCTCTGACTCAATCATTTGAAACTACATATTTTCCTCGCCATTATTCTGTCATGTCGTGTCGTCACAACTTTTATATAATCCACAATGAGAAAGTTGACCTGACCACCGTACATCAGATTTATGGTAATTATCTAGTTAATTTGCTGCGCTAACTCCTGTTGTGTGTAATCCTGGATGCAGCATCTTGCTTGTATATTCCCTTCTGAAGCTTGTTTATAGTTTGCTGACAGGAGATATTATACCTTCTTTCTCTTTTGTATTCGAGGTTGTATTCCGCAAATTAGGGGACTCCTCTCCAACCTGGATCGTTGTTATTACCCAGGGCCAGTTATTTAACTCTAATTAGCTAAACATTTGGAGTTCTGGAGTTCTGGCTCGCTATCAAATGTGATGTCTAGAGACCCAGAAACCTTTCTTCTTCCATACCTCTTTAATAACAAAAGAACTACCAACTAATTAACTTCCACTCATAAACTTTACAATTAATTGTGAACAATTAACTTTAGGCTTACGTAATTTGTACTAAGTAAAGAGAAGCTCCCAATGTCCTATTATTAGAAACCCTCCTGTACACAGTAAATCGGTAGACTCCAGAAAGTAGAGCTCCTTTACTGTAACTGTATTAACTACTATTATAAAAACCCCAAGATCTATTGTAATAGTAACTGAACACGGTAGACATTAATTATAGACAAGGGTAGACACAAGCGATGAAACCATTACTAGCTCCTTTACTCTCCTATAATTATAAACCCTCCTCTCCTGAACACTGTAGAACTGCAGACTGGATGTAAAACAGATAATTAGTTCCTGTACTGGCTGTCTACCAATACAATATCCAGTGCAGAGTAAGAGTACAGAGCTACATCAGTGCTTATTGGGCAGCAGCGCTGTGTTTAGTATTTTGGGATTAATATCTGCGGAACTCAGGCAGAATAACCGACTAAATGTTTAGCTTGCCTTCATAGACCATAGTACATATTTTAAGCCGCATATTTTCGTTTGTTTTGTGTATTGTTTTGGCTAAACTTGGATAATTCCTGCTTTGTAGATCATTTTGGGGACAGGGTGAGTTAATATTGAGCGCTTTTTTCAGAAATCTGAAGAAAAAGTGAGAACTAGAAATAGTGATTTCGTGTTGATGTTAAAGACATTTAAAAGGAAATACGCAAGTTTTAACAATTACCAAGACAATCATCAGTAACCACTAATCATACAAATTAACGGCTAATTATCAATATCCAACCGGATGTGTGTGGTAGAAAGTTTCAGAACTTAAAAACAGACTTTTAAATCTTCACAAATCATATAGTTTACGCTTGTTTCTTGTTTGTTTACGATAATTATAAATCACTACAGCTGAAGCGACGTTAACTGAAGTGACAGCTTATAAATATTCAAACCAAGTCGACCAGGCGTTTTCTACTTATGAGCACACATTCTTGTCATAGTCCTGATAATATTTCAATAAACGTTTACCCTGTGGTGATAGTCCTTCATTTCCTTACACATCATGATAGAAAGATCACATACCGCACTTTTCTGCTGAAGAGTTTATCATTCTGACATAATTTCTATTAAGAGTGTTGGAGTTTATTGAACAATTATATATTCTTATCAAAGGTCCTCAGAAGATCCTGTAGTAATCTGGTACTCTTGTTGATTTTATAACTATTGTCTCCTCAGCACGATTTATCCCTGAAATAGTTTTAATATTTAACTATTAACGTTTCCGTACTGTATATAATATGCACTGTACACTCAGTACAATGCTTTAAATTAACGTTAAAAATTTTAAAAGAAAACATGACGTTCATAAATACCCCGCTTATAACGAACCTATATTTTGACTCTGCCAACACGTCTTTGTCTCGCCCCCTGGTTAACATTGTTAGGCTTACCCCTCCTGCTACTCCCCTGCTTATCACTCAGCAGGTTAACCCCCGTCTTGTTACAGAAATAGATCACCGGGTCCAGTAAGCTGCTGATAGTAGGAAGGAAGATGATGTAGAGCGGTCCTAGGATGTGGATCTTATCATTCAGGTCGAATATCATCCCCTCCATGTCGAGGTCAGTGTAACGGTGGAGGGTCTGAACCAGCCATACGTAGAAGAATACACTGTAGAATATCGTGATGTTGAGCGCTACTAGGATGCTGGTTTTCAGCGCTCTCAGGCTTTTACCACTCGAGTTCTGTTTTCTTAGGTCCATCCTCTTTTGGAGAGACTTGTTCAGGTGTCTCTTTATGAATCCTCCTCCCAGGTTCAGACCCAGCAACACAAAGTCTTTCCTCACCGTCTGCTCTGTTCTCGACCCTTTCCTCTTCTTCTCGTTGAAGTCCGTCAGAGGATCTGTCCGTTTTGTCAAGTTGGGATACTGAGAACTGTCTATGAAGTAAGGAGCTTTCCTCTCGTATCTCCTCAGAAGGGGATCAAACCCTCCCTCACCATCAGGAGACTGCTCAAACTTGCTTTTAGCCCCTTTTTTAGTGCTGTTTTGAGAAGGTTTGGAGACAGAACTTCTGTCGGGTCTCTTGTTCCACATGGGTATGATGTGGGGCTGGTTCTTCTTTTGATGGGTCCTGATGAAGTTCTGTGCTGCTTCTATGTCCCTCTCTGTTTCCGTGTCGTATGTCAAGTCACTACTGCTTAGTCTCAGAGGAGAGTCCATAGTCCCCGAACTGTCTCCAGCTACCATGGCCGTTCTCTTGAATCGTAGCCTAGAAAGTAGACTTGGTTTTGTTGGGGCATTTAAAGTTGAGTATTTGAGGGCGATCACATCCACAGATTGACTTATAGGTGCTGATCTGGGGACAGTATCATTTTCCTCGTTTGACAGTTCCTTCTTCGAACAACCAGAGCAGTTCGATTGATCTGAGGCGTATCCGTCTCTGGCCACACTGAGACTCAAGCTCTTAGCTGATGAGTCTGAGTTCTGCCTATTTACAGACTGGTTGCTACTCAGACCCGTCTGATCCGAGTGCTGTCTTGATAGTTCTCCTATGTTGGGTGAAAGCTGTGAAGGTTGTGCATTTGTGGACGCCCGCCGTCGAGCCAAGCGTTGCTCCCTCGCTAATGCTCGCGCGGGGCTGCGCGGTGGCAAAGTGCTGCTCTGTCGACCTCCTGGAGCTAACCCTCCTGATGTTGAACCTCCCGGTGCTAAACCTGCAACCTGGTGCCCTCCTACGTGCAGGAACTGCTGGCTGCTGGGTGCTGAGAAGATGGTGGTCTGGATGGTAGGTGGACTGTCGGGGGAGTCTAGCTGCTGAACCACACTAGGCCCGATCACTTTCAGAGTTAGCTTCTGTACTGTAGGAGTGAGGGAAGAGGTCCTGGATCCCAGAGGGGTCAGGGTTCCGTCACTGGTGGTGGGTGTTGTTGGTGCCACGACGATATCTGGAACTGTCGTAACTATGCCTTGTTGGGGTCTTATCGTGATCCCTGAAACGTCCATTACGGAGATGCTTGGATTGGTGCTCATGTGTTGCAACTTCTGTCTGTGTACCTCCTCTACTTTTACTCTTGTTATCCTCCGGACTTGTTGCTTTGTCATTGGCTTCCTAGGTTGGTTCAGCAAGCTCATACTACCTGATCGCTGGAGTAAATTCCCTGCTGAAACTGTTCGGGTTTCCAGGCGAGGCTTTCTTTTGTCTCCGACACTAGATACACTGAATTGACCGTCTATAAAACTAACCAAGGTTACTGAACTCCTCTTCACGGATGATGGGGAGGTTGAGTTCACACTTGAAGTGTTGCTGAACTTGCCAACGAGTCCTTCCATTAGCGAGTGTCTCTTCTGACCGATCATGCTGAATCTGTCAGGTCTGATACTAGCGACACTTACTCGGGAGGGTCGTCTAGAAGCAATGCTGGCTATGCTTACCAGACTATGCTTCTTTTGGAGGTATTTCTTTAAGCTCCTGTATTTGCTGGCTGTAGCTTGGATATCCTCCGACGAGCCGAAATCTAGAGAGGTCACTGACAATCTGGTAGGGTTCATCCCGGTCTGGTTTAGACTTGTAGTAGAAGAGAATCCTGAGCGCTCACCGTCAGTATTGAGACTTGAAACAGATTCAAAATGAAGCTCAACCTTAGACTCCTCCGCAATACTACCACTTATCTTAGAGCTCATCCCACTTGCATTGCTATCAACACTAGCGTTACGTCTGTAAGGGAACTGGGATGTGTTCATTATCGGCTCAGATTGGGAAGCGGTGATGTTATTCCATGATTTAGATTTACCATATTGACCCATGGTGTTGGAGGGTGTAGATCGGGGGCTGTTTGAGGAGGAGCAGATGGAGGGGAGATTGTAAGGGTTGTTAATAAGAGGGTGGGTGGTGTACGCTACACTGTGTGCTCGTATCCTCTTGTGCTTGTGTTTAGTTCGACCCCCAGTTACATTGATCGTAGCTGTAGATGGTTGTGACTGAGTGAAGCACTGCAGGATTATTGGTTCTGATTGAGACGACAGGGGGTTGAACACTTCTGCTACAAAGTTATCAGGCAACTTGGAAACTTTCACTCTACTCTTCTTGACCGCCTGCATTGCTGCTCTCATTAGAGCCTGCCTGTCTGCATGTCTTTGTTTCACCTTCAGTATCAGTACCACTGTAAACAACAAAGTGAACAAGATGGGGAGATTCACCGTCAGACCACCCATAAAAATAAAGTTGTAGCTCTGAAAGTAGTCCCCAGCCACACAAACTGTTAGATCAGCCCAGTAGTCCGACCCGAACATAACCTGCCTTGCAAAGGAGTACAATATCTTGTAGACCCACACAAACACCACAATACCCAGGGTGGACTTGTACCTGATGAGCTGTTTAGACCGGAGAGGCATGTAGAACACAACACACTTGATACCTAGCACGTACATGGTGATAAAGAGACCCATGGCAGGGAGGATCTCCACACAGGAGGCACTGATCGGACAGAACCAGGCTAAGGAGACTGGGAGGACTCTGTTGTTGAGGAGAGTGAGAGCGGAGAGAGAGGAGACGAGACCTTGGAGGAGGTCACAGATACCCAGGTTTATGTAGAGGATTGTGGTGGAGTTCTTGCCTTTAGAGGTGTCACGTGTGAGGAGGAGGAGGAGGTGGAAGAGGGAGATTCCGTTAAAAAGGGTCGTCAGGAAACTCACTAGAGCTGTTATAACCCCAAAGTAGAGGTTTGCCACGGAACCTACCCCAGGCTCATAATTCCTCATTGCTGGTTGCCAGGGGCCAGATTGTTCCGGAGAGGTTCAAGCCAAAGCCCTCGGGCCAGTAGGCCTCGGATAGGTAGAGGAGCTGAAGTAAGACCTGGATGAGTGTAACGAAGAATTTGAAAATCAACACACAAAACGGCAGTTTTTCCCAAGGGCTGATAACTTGAGCTCGCATCTATGAGAAGGGGAGTCTGGGACTCAAGAATAAGGAGTCTGGGACTCAGGAACAAGGGAGTCCAGGACTCTTGAGTGAGGAGTCTGGTAGTCAGAAAGTGGAACTTTAATCGGTACTCGGAGTCATGTCAACGAAATGTTCTTAGCAATGGGATTCTGATTAAAAGAATAAATGAACCGACTGGCCGAGTCTTCCCACTTTGACTATTCTAAAATAATAAATTAATTAAGTGATGGGGGAAGATATACGCATGCTTAATTAAACCAGTTTTGTGCGGCCACAGAAATTCTAACATATTCCTTTAATGCCATTACCCGGAAAAAGTTTAGTTGTGCCGCCTAATTTAGGACCCAATTAAGAAAGTCGACTTTGGCAAGTTGAGAATTAACTGTCAGTTGATGGATTTTCCACCGCGAATCAGCATCCTGGAACGTGCGACTCTTGTGATCAAAATTGGGAGACAATTTCCTAAAAAAGGTTAAATTAGCGATTAAATTTTAAAGAATTATCATTAGAATTACATCCTGGGAAGTTTCCTATCAATTTATCCGTCAATTATACCAATTTATGCCATGGTTTCCCATGAACATTTCACGCTTGAAATTTCATTCAAAATAGCTTTAGAACCGCAAAAATAATCAAAAATCACAATCTTGAAAAACGTCAAGAGACATTTTGGCAGAGTTATTAATTACTTATCCCTGATTCATGGCAAGAAACAGTGTTAATATTGACAAAATCAAGAGGTCATCCAAGATAGCAAGATGAACGTCATCATGCTTGCTGAGACTATTAAAAGTCAAGTAATTCACAAAGCCTCTCACTTGATTAAGTAATAAGTAATTATCATGATAAAGCAATTACCACGCACGTGCACACATCTGAGTAGAAGTGGAGAAAGTGTAGTACATATCTAAACTAACAAGCAGCTGAGTACACCAACATGTAAACAAATCCAACTTTCTCACTTTCTCTCACCTAAACAATTAACAATGTGCTGGAGTCAGAGAGAGAGAGACATAGTAGTAGTTGAGTCAGCACACAGCGCCGCTTTCTCAGCGCTTTTGACTTTGTTTCGCAGTTGCAAACAGAGACATAGTAGTAGTTGAGTCAGCACACAGCGCCGCTTTCTCAGCGCTTTTGACTTTGTTTCGCTGCACAGTTGCAAACGATCGGTAGCAGATTGTGCAGTTGTTCTGCAAATGGTTGGTCTTTATGCGCCGTTTAATGCTTCTTAATGGATGAAAGCTTGTTATTTCCAATATTTCTTTACTATCTTTGTTGTATAAATATGTGTGATTGAATTTGGGGTGGGTTATTGTCAGTTGTTATTGGGAGGGATAATTTCAGATAACTTTGGTCTCCAACCAAAGTTCCTAGCCTCTGGATTTTTCACCCTGAATCATGATTATACTAAAAGTAAAGGGAAGTAAAGTGCCAGTGCCCAGTGGTGAAAAATATATAAAACATTTGACCGAGTGAGAGCTAACCCTGTCCTCTATAAGAGCTGCTGATGACAGTGTCCCTGTACGAGAAGACATATAACGATTACCTGAAAGAGCACCGCCCCTGGCTCCACTCCGGTCGCCCCTCCTGGTCCTACTACTACAGACCCTGGCTCTACTACCCCTACAATAGGAAGTACTATGAAAAGTACAGGTTCTACGATCCTTACTACGATATCTACTACAATGATTACTTGGATCACACTGTGCCCAGATACAGATACACGCATCTTCCAGTACGTTGGCATGGTTACAAGCACTGTTTTGGTAGAATGTTGAGATTTGTTGAGAATTTTGCAAAACGTATCTTCTTAATATCCCTCAATAAAGTCTTAAACGTCTGTACTAAAATTCTCTAACCATTCTGAACTTGTATACTGTTAACTCATAATATGGTCATGTTGACCTACAGTGGCTCGGTAGGTACCCACGTATACATTTGTTGAGATGTTACACTTCGTGCTCCTAAAAACCCTGTCTTTGAAAATGAATTACTCCTGTAGTTGATACAACCCCGTAAATAGAGAGGAGTTTTGGTGGACCTGTTAATTGTTAGTTACACATTACAAGTTCCTCAACACGGTAGTTTGGAAGTACGGTTTAACCTGTATGGCTGAAGTAACATGTCTCCACTTTTGAACAATAATTCCTAAATTCCAGCCCCTTACTTCCTTCTAATCCCCTCTAATCCTCACTCTTCCTGCAGGACTCGAGCGCAGTGGAAGACTACCTGAAATCTATTGACAAGATGGACAACATCCGTCACAGTATAGACACACTCCATACAGATCTGAACGTCAGTGAACTCCGGGACGATATCAACCGGACTAGACGGAAACTTAAGAATGATTTGGAACTGTCCCGATCGGCTAGATTGTAAGTCAGTCGGTCTGCTCCTTGCAGTATAACCTACAGTTTAATCGTACTGCAAACCCAGTATAACCTACAGTTTAATCGTACTGCAAACCCAGTATAACCTACAGTTTAATCGCACTGCAAACCCAGTATAACCTACAGTTTAATCGTACTGCAAACCCAGTATAACCTACAGTTTAATCGCACTGCAAACCCAGTATAACGTACAGTTTAATTGTACTGCAAACCCAGTATAACCTACAGTTTAATCGTACTGCAAACCCAGTATAACCTACAGTTTAATCGTACTGCAAACCCAGTATAACCTACAGTTTAATCGTACTGCAAACCCAGTATAACCTACAGTTTAATCGTACTAGAAACCCAGTATAACCTACAGTTTAATCGTACTAGAAACCCAGTATAACCTACAGTTTAATCGTACTAGAAACCCAGTATAACCTACAGTTTAATCGTACTGCAAACCCAGTATAACCTACAGTTTAATCGCACTGCAAACCCAGTATAACCTACAGTTTAATCGCACTGCAAACCCAGTATAACCTACAGTTTAATCGCACTGCAAACCCAGTATAACCTACAGTTTAATCGTACTGCAAACCCAGTATAACCTACAGTTTAATCGTACTGCAAACCCAGTATAACCTACAGTTTAATCGTACTGCAAACCCAGTATAACCTACAGTTTAATCGTACTGCAAACCCAGTATAACCTACAGTTTAATCGTACTGCAAACCCAGTATAACCTACAGTTTAATCGTACTGCAAACCCAGTATAACCTACAGTTTAATCGTACTGCAAACCCAGTATAACCTACAGTTTAATCGTACTGCAAACCCAGTATAACCTACAGTTTAATCGTACTGCAAACCCAGTATAACCTACAGTTTAATCGTACTGCAAACCCAGTATAACCTACAGTTTAATCGTACTGCAAACCCAGTATAACCTACAGTTTAATCGTACTGCAAACCCAGTATAACCTACAGTTTAATCGTACTGCAAACCCAGTATAACCTACAGTTTAATCGTACTGCAAACCCAGTATAACCTACAGTTTAATCGTACTGCAAACCCAGTATAACCTACAGTTTAATCGTACTGCAAACCCAGTATAACCTACAGTTTAATCGTACTGCAAACCCAGTATAACCTACAGTTTAATCGTACTGCAAACCCAGTATAACCTACAGTTTAATCGTACTGCAAACCCAGTATAACCTACAGTTTAATCGTACTGCAAACCCAGATCTATATTTCCTCTAATATTTATCTAAACTGAGCTATCTCCCCGTGCAGATTACAAGAAGACATAGATCGCAAACGGAGAGTCAGGGAAGATCTGGAACTTTCTCGGTCTTATAGATTGTAAGTCTCACTTATAGGGACGGAGATTAATTCATGTATTCAGGGTGGTCTGTTCTTAGTTAAGAAAATAGGTCTTGATCCTGTTAAAACTCTTCTAAACAAGACACATTCATTTCCAAACTGAACTTCCTCCCCACCCAGAGCCTCGGAGCTAGAAGACATAAGATCGAGCACACTGAGAGCCGAGTTGTTGAGTGAAGCTGCACTCCGACCCTCCTCCGCTACCCCGTACGGGGACTACATCAGCACACTGAGACTCAGGAGCCTGAGACTGGAGGAAGAGCGACTTCTGGAAATAAGACGACTTCAGGTAGGAAGAGAGTATTATCTGTATAGCTCTTCGGCTGGTTATGAAATCTTTCCCATAATGAATTTGAAATTTAAATGGATATAACTTGTGATTTATATTAACTGATAACCACCAACCATGGTTACTTGAACTGGTAGTATTGGTAACATTGATTGGTAACCATGGTTACTTGAACTGGTAACCATGGTACTTGAACCGATATCCTTTTGATAGTCCAGAGCTAGAGCGCTGAAACTCTATTGAAGAAGTGGGACTAATATGGTAGGTTATGAATCGCCCCTCAAAGGACTATCAATGGAGTTGTTTGTAGTTACCCGTTCCTTGGTAGATCGTAAACTTTACAGAGAATTCTGCTACGCATGGTCAACCCAACTTGTCAGTACATATCGAGCATCTTCGTTGTCATAGCAACCATGACTACAGACTAGGTTTTATGTTAATGAACGTAGTTTTGCATCTCAGTTTGTAAACTCGTAACGTAAAATACTCTAGCCTAATCGTGATAGCCCAATGTGTAGTAATATGAATGTTAAATGTAGCAAATTCAAGTTCTTGAGATTGACATAATATTGCATAATATTATGAGCTACATTCCCGCTATAACATTGCTTCATAATGGATCAATTAGTGTTCATGTCTTGACGTTATAAACTACATGTACATCAGCAAGCCACCTGGATTGTAGCCATTTCTTAATGTTGATGCTACCTTTTGACTGTCACATTTCGGAAACTGGGGGCTAAAAGTTAAAACCTATGTGCATAAATCTTACATGATTCGTTATGCTCCTGGAAGCTGTTACGTTTCGAAGTTTCGTTTGAAGACGGGTTTCTGAACCTCATTTAATTTCGGATTTCGTTAACTATGACGTATAAAAAAGGCAGTAAAGTAAAGTTACAGATTACCATTCACTGGATTGAATGAGAGGACCTACCACATGTATCTGCAAGCACTTTGTACTTCTCAAGAGAAATTCGTGGCATAAACGTCGCACGCGCTGAATTTCTAGCAGAGATTGCACGTACGAATTTATTGATGTATTGTTAGAATTTAAGAAAGAGCACATGCTTTGGAGGAATCCATCATGTATTACCTCCATTAGATTAACACCTGATAAACTGATAACATTTCCCGAATCAGGAACTGGAACGGTTGAGAGGACCCCAGCCGAAGTGGTACGAACTGAAAACCCCCCAGTTTCACGTGGAAGCCCGGAAGAACAACGAGCTGATAGCTGCAAAAAAGCAGTGGCACGACCTGCGGGACTACACTGAGTCTGTTTGGAGGAGTAGGGACTTATCACGGAGTGCCACACACTCATAAACACTAGCTGTATATTAAACTATGTGCTGATTATCACGTATAAATACTGTGCTAATTATATGGCAATAAGTAGGATCAACTGATCAGGTTATCTATGTTGATTTCTTTGTTATTTTGTCTGTTTTTGGGTCATTTGACGAATTTAAAGCTGGCTAACTTTTGTGATTTGTTTATTCTTAAAGTACAAACTAAGTTAAATTGGATTTTAGGAGCCCCAACTGGCAACTGTTTCCGTAAAAATGTCACATAGCAGCCTGCAGCTGCTGATTTACCGCGGTTGCAGCATTTGTTAGCAGTCGTTGCCATGGCAACCGATCTCTTTTAGCAGTATCAGATTACACAGATCTTACTATAAACCACTATTTCTAAAGTACCCTTATTAATCTGTATGAATATGTAATTAGATTTTAGCGATTTAGAAAAATAACTTTAAGCATTGATTTTGAGGTGTTTAACAATTTTGTATAAATTATGTACTGTATTTACTATTGATCTATTGATTGTATGTACATATTATTATGTATATTATCCCCATATATACTCGGAGTATTATTGCGTATCTTTGAATATGTAGTATATGAACTGTATGTATAATTAATCATAGTATACTCATTTAAATAATATCACTTATATGTTTTTAACCCAACTCCATTCATTTAAATAAATTTGGATATCACACATTCAAGCAATTTGCACTCAACCATTGAAATCTCAAAATGTTCACTCAACCTTATCACATAACTCACTAGCACGATCAAAAGAAACTGTTCCGGATAATCCCAATCTCCTGAGAACTGTCTTGGAGACCGTTAGTCTACTGATGATGGAGGGTTGTCATGGTAACGGCTGATGATGACCCATTGACCCTTTACACGTAGGTTTGTGATTCTTATGAATTTCTAAAAATAGTTCCTTAAGTATTGGATTATGAAACTAAAGCTTTCATGTCTGGTTCTGCATTATTTTGATCGTATTCAAGTATCACGCCACTAAAAATGCTTAGTGTAAGTAAAAAGGCGAATTTTGTCCACCGAATGAATTTATTCGGGGTTACAGTAATCTGCATTGTTCTGAACCGGACCCGGCTTAATTTGCCAAGGAAAAACGCGCAATGACTACCCTGAACAGTGTAAGAGTAAGCCCAACTTTATTACCGACACCATTAATATTATGCAGACAACTTAATATCATTAAACGCAAAACTACATTAAACGTATCACTCCTCCTCGCAGTAATGCAGACCGAGGAATTAATATTACTGTTTTAGTATTCGTTATTAGACTAGTTTACTGTTAAGTGCGTGTTCCACTTTATGTTGTGTGTGTGTTGCACCTAAATTAAATTTCCTCCACAACTAGTTCACCCCAGTGTAAACCGTGACCACGTGGGGCTAGTTGGGTGGTACAATTGTCGTTTAGAGGTGGGCAAACTTTACTTTCTCCGGTCTTGAACTGTTTTTAACAAGCTTCCCTGTCTTTGAGATGGTGTGAAAAGTGCAGGTGTCCTGTAAATACCCTGCTTCTTACGTATACTGTTAGTTATGCTCTGGTTCTATTTCTTGTCCGTTCAGGTCTTCTAGAAAGGTGTTTTTAGCTCAGATAATGGCTGTTGCCCTGCCGCACCCAGACCACCCAGACCATGGCTATCTTCCAGGGTTTTCTGCGGGTTCTGAGGCACTACCAGGAACGGAGATTTAGGTATTACGATAAGGGAAATCGTAGTCAACCAACAATTACTATAGGAATAGGAATAGTAAAGTAATATTATCGACTTAAGAGCGTGTTCTATAATTGTGGTAGAAGAGCTGATCCCTCAACCTAGCTTAGAAACTATTTACTTTGACAAGGTTGGTAAGAATATATTTAGACAGTAGGTAGACATATTTTAATAATGATATTTTGTGATTTCTTGAACAAGTAAATCTGTCCAAGCCTTACTAGTACTAGTTCTTATAAACGCGTTTGAGTCATTCGTTCAGTAAATATAATACTGAATACCAATTAATTATTCTACTTAGACGAACTCTTTGAAGAGTACCACTTCTAAGCCTCTAAGCCCTAAGGTCGAGCCTAGTGGCACTAGTTTTTGATGCCATTTAACTTTTACCCTTTGGCCTTTGCATTTGTTATATAATATAGTGTCGGTGTCGTTTCTTAGCACCTGTGTTCTCACAACCGCAAATCTTCATATACTCGTAGTCGTGGGAAGCCCTTCAATATTATAATATCCTTATTTTTAGTTCAGATGAATAGTTTTGACCTGTTTCACCGACAATAAAATACCTTCTATCATTTATTGTTTTTGCTTCAGCTATTTCTCTATTTTAGTCGTTCTCAAAGTTCAACTCTGCAATCGTCGCCGTTAAAATCCGATATATTTTCTCAAAAGTAGGTACACTGTGATACTAATAAATACTAATAAATACTAATTGGCGAGTGAAAATGGCGAAATTTCAATGAAATTTTACGAATTATTCCGCTTAGCTTAGTTGGACCACTAGAATAACTCGTTTAATTAAAATTAGTCACACTTTTACTTAGGTGTAGTAATTGGTCAGAGCGCACCAACACACGATTTTACGTTTTACTAATACGCAGAGTTTCCAATAAACTATTAACTAAAACGACACTAGCCAACCTCGTTGAATTAATGTACACCTGCTACCTGCTATCAGATCCTTATTATTTACAATTGACAATTACAACGCAAAACTTGTCTATTAGTTTGATGGTTCGGAATTTTTACATTTTACATTTTCCAGTGGCTTTTTTTATCCAGACGTACCTTAATTAAATTTTAAGTAAACTTTCACCCAACTTAGCTTTTCACGATACATAACATTTATAGGTATACGTGTACTGTACATCTGAATCAAATCCTAAATTGAGTTTGCAGTTGAAAATAACAAAAACAGTTTAACAGTTGATAAAGATTATATTATTTAAGAAGGATAGTTGAATATGCTATACCAAACATTTAAAGTTCAAATATTCTATTTTGAAAGTTGGTTAATCTCACATCTTCTATTCAGAACAAATATGAAAAAGTTTTAAAATCCAGTGCAATATCTATTGGACAATATAGTTGTTATTTAAGAATAATGTTTTTGAATTATGATTGATCTTTTCGACTTATAATCTGCTTTGTAGAGGAGATCGCATTCTCATCAGCTTCACCTGAAAACAGTTGGAGGTACAACAAGAATAAGAGTTCATTTTAGTTCATAACTTATATTGTTAGATTATATCAATGTATTGTTTTTGTATATTAGAAGTTACCTATATACTATGGTTTTCTCGAAAGTATTTCCTTGTATTTGACTTTCGTCAAGAAAGTACTGTTACTTTCGGTTCAAATGTTACTTGTTACTTGCTAACGTCATATGCTTGACGTGTTTAGAATCTAGATGACAGGGGGGGGGGGGGGGGCACAGGGGGTGGGGTATTTCGGTCTTTGAACTTACTTACATCGAAGACAACTTGTTTACTTTTTGTTTCTTAATAGAATCCTGTGCAATCTTTCCCGCGTTCAGGCGTCCTTTAGTTTTCGTTGTTTTATTAACTTTGAAATCGTACCTAAATTCTGATATCTAAGTTAAAATAAGCTGATGTTTTCTCAACTTGGTAGCAGCTTTTGTTTCTTTGTTTCAGACACTTCATCTCTTCGTATATACTTATATACCAATATGCAATATATACCTACACTTACGTATGTACCGCTAAAATGTTATTGTATTAAAAGATATTTGCATATATTTCTTGATATAAATGTTATGTAATGATATGTAATAATATTGTGAACTTTGTAGTGAACTGTGACTAGTTGTGTCAGTAGAATCTTACTCGGACATGGGAGGATAAGGGTATCGTAACTCCGCGTTTCTGTAGCTGATCCCTCACATTGTTCTCCACCGTGTTCAGGAGTAGGGTTGGTACAGGATCTAGTTCGGGTTTGTGTTCCTGTACCACACTCTGTACAACAACCGGGCCATTCTTCGAAATCAGTCCATCCACCATTCACAGGACATCCTTGTGTGTTGCATTCCCGAGTCTCAGTGCTACCTCCCTCACATTCTTTTCCACCGCGTTCAGGAGTAGGGTTTGTGCAGGTTCTAGTTCGGGTCTGTGTTCCTGTACCACATTCTGTACAACAACCGGGCCATTCTTCGAAATCAGTCCATCCACCATTCACAGGACATCCTTGTGTGTTGCATTCCCGAGTCTCAGTGCTACCTCCCTCACATTCTTTTCCACCGCGTTCAGGAGTAGGGTTTGTGCAGGATCTAGTTCGATTCTGTGTTCCTGTCCCACAATCTTCAGAACACTCAGACCAACCACCGAAATCACTCCATCCACCATCAACTGAAATATGTGGTTCTGATAGACAGTATTAGTAATACATATTATAGTGATAGTATCATAGTTGTATATTGAAAACTTAACCAAATTATTGCAAATTCGCTCATTGCCAAATTAGAGCGGAATTTGAAATATTTCTCCACTTTAAACTTTTCCAAAGTTAAGAGATCGGTCCGATCTCTTAACTTTGGAAAACTTTAATTGCTTATCTTAAATGTGGATAGCGGAAATTGTAGCCTTAATCCTTTATGGTATTTGGGGATTGTTTTCATCTCCTTATTTTATAAATGTAAGTCCTTACCTGTCGATGGGAGGACTTTTCGGCAGTAAACAGTGGTATCTGCGGGGCTATCAGTCCAGATGATTTGTTTATTTGCTGACATCGAGCTCCATGGTGCTCCATCGGGGATATAGCCAGAGTTGCTGTAAGATGCTGCATATTTCCAGTTGTCTCCTTCAACAAAGTCCGCTTTCTCCCACCCATCATCAGCTGTATTTGAGCAACTCCAAGAGTTGTCAGTCATGAGAACATTGTCCCCTGCTGCATCTTCGACGGCGGCCATAATCCCATAACCCCCTCCTATGTTAACACATTTAATCCCTAGCACCTGAGTGGTCGAAGGAATGTTAAGAGTAGACACCTGGTCGTAGACCCCTTGCCCATCTACGTCTATCTGAACTCCATCAACCCAGAGTGTCATCTCATCGTCACAAACCACCTTCATCGTGAATTGTTGCTCTGAAACGAGTAATTGCGGATAAAATGAGCTTATTAATGGTTATTATTGATATTTGCTCGGATTGCATAACATGGAAAATGAAGGAAATAAAGCTGTCGATAAGAAGAATTAAAATAATTTGATAAACTAACCTACACGATCATGAAATTAATAAGTAATCAACTAATTAACGCAGTTAACCTCCACATTTGAGATTTCTGCTGTTAACTCCTGCCATATCCTGAGGATTAGCACCGAACTCTTTGTTCTTCAGCCAGCACCGGGAGGTGGCTGGTCGGTGGGTGACTGAAACACAGCCAGTCTGGTCATCACACAATGCTGTACAGTCCTCTATGGACACCACGTTATCAACCTGAGATGTGGTTCGGGTCGAGAAGATGATTGGACTTTTGGTGTTATTTTCGAAAATGTTGGCTTGTTTTATCTTTACTGACGCTGTAATATGCCTAAACGTAGAAGACTTCAGTCGATAGTTCGATATCTCTCGAAATCAGTACCGCTCAGATTATTAAATATATCATACCTGTTTGATGTCAGCTCCATTGAAATCGTAGCTTTCTTTAACACATCCCTCTTCGACTATAAAGATTCCGTGGTTATTATTAGAAGGACGATTGTCACAATGGGAGAAGATTTTTATTCCGGCTAGTAGCTTTAGATTGCTAATAGATTTTGTGCCTCAAAAAACAAATGTCCACTTACGATTTAAGAGTCTTAGGTGTTGCTATAGAGTAAGATCAAGTTTTGTAATTTTTGAGTTGTCACCATGAAAAACAGGCCTTGTCAAATGCTCCAAGATCTACTTTATACTGTACATTATAACATTTAACCAAATCTCTGTAAAATCTTTTTGGGTTGCTTTCGAGCCGATACCCAGTAATTCGGGATAAAGGCGGTTATTAGTGTCCAATTAGCTAAGATTTATCGAATCGTTATTGCCGAGTACAGCTGCCTTCGGGTAGTGCTCCTTTGTCTATTACAATTGTAAATGAATGGGAAAAGCGAGCGACCGATTGTATTCTCCGTATAATTTTGCATTTGAGAACGGTCATTCAAATTAATATCATTTCTTTTTGGGAAAGAAAGATACTGGCAGCGGTCCATTCTACCCTGACCCATGATTATGGGTTTGGTAAAATAGTTCACAATGCAATTTATTTTTTACTTAAAATATCAAAATATTTCCCTGTAAAATTGTAGCTAACCTTCAGCATGAGCCAATAGAGAGAGGGCGAGGAGACAAAGCTGAGTGCGAATCATCGAAGGCTGCATTCAAACAAACATATACTGGAATTAAAAATTAAGTTAAAATAAATTCCCGATATCATCTTCCCTTGAAGAAGACACTGACAATATTAAATGTATGCTAAGCAAGAAATTAATGCATAGAATTAGAGATGTAAGGTTGAAATTGATCGGTCATTGTTGTTAATTTGGATTATGAGCTGTAAGGGCTGCATATATCAAGACCATATTTGGCCGCAATTTTCTGGAGAGCTTTGATATAGATTATAATAACTATAGCAGGAACCCGTCTAACTCTAGAGTGGTGTTCAGCAGATTAAAAGCAAATGGAAGGTGAATGACGGAGGAACCTATATCGATAGAAGTAGAACAGGCAACTATGTAAAGAAGAGTTGACAGATTTCGTTTTTTTGTGATGACGAAATATCTCAAAGGTAGACAGTTTCCAGGCAGTCCGATCACAAAGCAGGCAAAGAACCCGAACGCTAGCAAGCCATAATAAATTCTGTACATACATAAGTAGGTCAATATATGGAAAGTTTCTCGGACTACTTTATCACAAACGTACGTTAAGACCTTTAAGAACTGAATAAAACTGATCATTATTTAAAGCTGTGGCTCGGATCGCACTGGCCCACGGTTACTTTTATCTATTTATAACCTAGGACACCGGTATAGTAGTAAAATAATTAATGAGGGAACAACTCATAAGCCGAGGCAGCGGGCTGATGGTTCGATGGTACCTAATTAAACGTTTAAACGTGTAATTTTGATAAAATCGTAATACTATTTACTTAATCCGGCAAAGATAAATGTGTGCAGGAGCCATGAATACATTTATATAAGAATATAGGTGACCTTCACTTGTATCCTACAACGGGTGGACTCCTTAGTCGCCAACCTGTTACTTAGCCTCGATTAAAGTAGAGTTAGTGCCACAACAGCACAACTAATATCAAATTTTATAAGTGCCTGAATTATTATAATTAAAATCGAGCTACAGATTCGAATAGGGTAAAGCACATAATTTTGTCATTTTTTGGCAATTTTCCGACTGTCTGATATAAACCATGGGTTTTAACCTCGTCTGAAATTCCGATTTAGATGAAACCTCCACCATGTTATAGTAGACAGTCTAGGCAAGTTCTAACACAAAAATGATCGAAATTGCTGGGGTTGAAGATGTTCAAAAAAATTATTTTGAAAAAATGACAAAATTAGGTGACTTTACTTAATTTTGTCACCCCGAACGTAATTTTGTCACTTGAAGATTGTGCAAAAAGTAACCGTTTCTCGGTATTTTAGACTACCTGGATGCATCATTCGAGCGCTTTTTTACCAACATTGACCTCAAAAATCCCAAAGATATGATATTTTCATAGTTTTGTAGCTTGATGAAAAGATGACACTTTTTGGGTATCTAATCTTAGAAAATAGCCCCGAATGCCCCTGAAACCACTGGCATCTTGAAAAACGATTGGTTCTAGGCCTAGGTTGAAATTTTCATGTCTGTAGATAGATCACTTGCTTAGTAATTTCATCAAATATTTTTTTAGTCATTTTAGATTGAAAAAATCAGATTATCCACCTAATATTTCTCGGCGAAAATATGCTATTATAAGTGTTATGCTATTATAAGTGCCTTATACATATCCTATGGGCAAAAAAACTTCAGAATAGTTGTATAAGGCCATTTTCAACACAATCTGTGATTTACAAGAAATTTGAGAAAGGTCGATTTTTTTGACAAAATTAGGTACTTTTGGCAAAATCGAACCTAATTTTGTCACCCTCTGTAACTTGAACAATCATTGCGCTAGAGACTTGAAAATTTGTACGTATACTTCTGCTGTAGAAGATATTTGAAATATGCAATGGCATGAAGCTAGCTCAATTACTTTTGAAATAGCAATAAATCAAAATTTTGAAAATTCCTTAAGAAAACCTTAAGGATCTTATTTATTTTTCGGGTTAACAGTTTCCCCTTCATTTTTGACACAGATGCAAAAGAGCTAGAAACTTAAACTTTGTACGAGCAGTTTCAGCAAAGTCTAAGCTTTCTTTTTATACACAATCCTTTTCTTTCAAGCTGAAATTCCGAGCCGAGGCAGTTTTTCAGAGCAAAATGACAAAATTAGGTACCCTGACAAAATTATGTGCCTTACCCTAAGGATAAATAGTTTTATAAGTATTAAGTAGTTAATATTCTTTATCAAATTAATTAAAGGTCTGGCCAATCCTTATTTAATAACCAATTTGTAATGAATAATAATTTTAATTAACCCTGCTGTGATTGGGTTTGATTTGTGATATGATAAAATAATATCTGTTAGTTTATCCAATAGAATATAGTATTGCGATTACTGCATAAATCTTATCTGTAAAATTTAAATTAGTTATACAGCAGTGACCCACATATCCCCAAATTGCAAATTAAGATGATATAAGGGGTTTCACAAATTCTTACTTAAAAGATTGATTACGTAATATGTGAACGACCCCTAACGCAAAATGAGAACGCTGCCAAATTCGGATTGAAATTATGCAAGTGTTTTTTCATACATTTCTCGTCGATCTTTATTTATTTTTTCTAGTATCTCTGTTTTAAAAAATGCCAATTTTTCCCTATTGGTAAATTGCAGCTATTCATTTCTATATCCAATATCCATAACATTTCAACCAAATGTGCAATTTGTATAAAAATATAGAATTACCTTACGAGACATATTTCATTTTATAATCGACATAATTCCGGTGACCTAAATGATTTGGGGACGAAAATATGGGATTTGTTTCCGAAAACCACCGCATTTCGTACCCCAAATTAAATCATGGTATTTGGGGATTTTTTTCATTTCTTTATTTTACAAAAATAAAACCCAATATTTGAGAAAATCAATAAAATAAAATATGAAATTTGAAAAATTAGAAGTCAATTTCTTCTTGATCTTCTGGTTCAGGGACGTTTCTCTCTCCAGTGTAGTCCCAGGTGTAGGCACCTCTAACAAGCTGTTTCATCTTATAAGTAGTTTCTCCGGCGCCTTTGAAAGTTAGTTTTAACTTGACTTCCAATCCTCCAGACGGAATAGGAGACCGCCGGTGTTTGTTATCCTCCACCACTCCCGAAATTTCTTAAAATCATTTTTATTTCATTCATGATCGAATACTAGCTTTCATTTGTTAGATGAATCATATTTATAACTTAGTACTTACTATATTGATAGTAAATCGACTAAGTCATAATTAAAGAGAATACGTGAAAAATAATTTGGGGAAAATAATGATGCTGACCTAAATTTTGGTAGTCCGAAAATATGGTGTTTTTTTCGGAAAACCACCGACTTTCGTACCTTTTAAATATGTCTCGTAAGTTAGGTAGAATAATAGTGTCAGCCTTGTAAAAATCTAGGCTTTTGAGCGTAATACCTAAGGATGATGAATAATGGCTGAACATTGATTCTATCTCTGCAACTGAAACTCATTAGTGATTCGTCACGTCCGAGTCCACTGCAGTCATATCGCGTCTTTTACTCTCCAATTTGTCCTTTTCTTTGGCTGATTTACACTGTCAGATTGTACAGAAAAAACTAAATTACTGATCTTCAAGACACGCCGTATAGACAAAAGACCTTTATCAGGATTATATTTCAAGGTCATATTATCACATACAAACCCACCTAAGATAGTTTATGCTAATCGCCTCATTCAGAGATAATAATGCCGGAAATGCAGTGTATCGATGGTGTCCCGCTCTTTTTGAAACATTTCCGGCCGCTACCCCACCCTGGACAGTGTCCGCAGTCCGGATGAAGGATCATGAGTAATCTGGTAACAGGACGGCAGTTTTACTTTTTCCCCTCCCTAATATCCGGTGGACTAATATCTATTAAGGGGAAAATACTTTCCATGATCCGATGTTTCGAATTTAAGAGGCTAACTCAATTTCACGTCGGCTTCGATCGGGTAATGGTATCTATTCATGAAAAAGGAGCCTTCCAGTGAGATCGTGATTAGATTTCACAGCCTCACAATGTGGGTTAATAGGAGCGTGGAGATTAAATCAGTGCGAACTGGTACGGTGAATCAACCTCTTCAGGCCACTCTGAGCCGTGCTGTCTACGAATTATCACTCTCGCTAGTTTGCTGCCACTGCGAGGTGGTGCTGCACACTGTGCTCTTCTACGGCATCCCGTTTAATGCTGCTTCATTATTATGCGTTAGTGTGAGTTTAGCTGTTTCGACTCTCCCGCTTTCCACGCTTCATGATCACACGTTTCGGAAGGGTTTATTTTTACATCCTTCTAGACGCCTGGTAGACTTGTACGCCTTGTGATAGGATGCGCTCTGAAGATGTGGTGAACCGTTCGATGCAGAAAGGGGGTTTAGCTGCGCTAGCTCTGGATATTCTGGGGATTTCGCGCTTCTGAGTGTATAAAGCTAGCTTTCAAGTTTGGCAGTCATGTGTATGAAGTTAATTTAGTAAAAACCACCGATCTGAAATGTATTCTTTCCGCTGTTGTCTTCTAAACCCTTCGCCGCTGGTTTTTAAACAGTAATTCTTGTTACCAATTTTCTCCAATCGATGCATTTTAAAGATGTTAATTGTTTTAATTACCACTTTTTACTAACATAATTAAACGCAAAAACCTGACATCACAAGAACCAGGCTTTGCTAAGAATCTGGTTTTCCCAGTTTCTTCATGAACTAAGAACCAGTCTCAGCACAATTTTAATTTATTAATGGAATTATATTTTTGAGGGTGTATAACCTATTAACCTTAGTTAGTTATCTCTAGTTGAATTAATCTTTGTACATATATTGTTTGAATGAATTTTATATATTTAATGAGGAGGAAGTAATATTTTACACGTTGAAGACTGAAGAGGAAGTAGTTCGGTTCCAAGGCAAACTCATCTTAAAATTAGACGCATCCCGTAAATATTCTGGGGATTTCGCGCTTCTGAGTGTATAAAGCTAGCTTTCAAGTTTGGCAGCCATGTGTATTGTGTAATGTGTAATGTGTATGAAGTTGATTTAGTAAAAACCACCGATCTGAAAAGTATTCTTTCCGCTGTTGTCTTCTAAACCCTTCGCAGCTGGTTTTTAAACAGTAATTCTTGTTACCAATTTTCTCCAATCGATGCATTTTAAAGATGTTAATTGTTTTAATGACCACTTTTTACTAACATAATTAAACGCAAAAACCTGACATCACAAGAACCAGGCTTTGCTAAGAATCAGGTTTTCCCAGTTTCTTCATGAACTAAGAACCAGTCTCAGCACAATTTTAATTTATTAATGGAATTATATTTTTGAGGGTGTATAACCTATTAACCTTAGTTAGTTATCTCTAGTTGAATTAATCTTTGTACATATATTGTTTGAATGAATTTTCTCTATTTAATGAGGAGGAAGTAATATTTTACACGTTGAAGACTGAAGAGGAAGTAGTTCGGTTCCAAGGCAAATTCATCTTAAAATTAGACGCATCCCGTAATTATTTCCGTAAATATTAAAATTAACTTAAACTATGTTTTACCTGGTGAGATTGGGTACCGTTAAACGTTCCACCCCATTAAGCATTGATTAGCTTGCCTAATTAGGATAATTAGCTGCCCCTGAGGGTGCAGTACTCCATCAAGCAAGCTGCTTAACAGCTCCATTATCAGTTAACTGGTAACTTCATCCCTCTGATATATTACGGTACGTTTATGTCATTATCCAACATGGTCTTTTGATAAGACCGGTCTCGTCCATATTCCATAGTATGACGGACGAACTTGGGCGAACACGTTTTTTGCGCCGTGTACGTAATACGTATTCCTGTCGATATGCGTCACCCTATTGTCTGCCGCATTTTTTCATGATTACTAGTACAATTACATTTGCTGAAAGTCAGGATTAGATTTTAATTATACCGGGAGGGTCACCGAGACCTCCCGCGGTCTGGGCATGAAATTATATAAACACTCATAATAAACCTACCCTACCTCCCGATTATTGTACATAATAATGGTGTTTATTTATAGTTTGTGCACATCAGTTGTGCAGGTCCGCAACAATTAGCACCATCATCCCTCTGCACCCGATATATGCAGAATATTATTCCTGCTGGAAACTTACACTCCTCCAATCCTCTACCTTATATAATATATTCGATTATACCCGGGGCCGGGCAACCTCCTTTTTCACGGGGGCGTCTCATATTAGATTTCAAACAATAATCTAATTGTTTTTCAGCCTCTCCTGCAAAGGAAGGTCTCCAGCTACAGGCTGCACCAGCGAGCAGGGCAAAGTTTCATGTACAGTCAGCACTCAATCCAGCACAGTGGGGATTGAGTGTGTTTGGCGGGGCTGCTTCCCAGATATTGTCCGTTTTGGGGAGTTCACCTCTTGTTTTTTGTGTAGATGTTCGTGTTTTCCCGCGTTATTTCCCGTGTTTCCCGCGGCTCAGATCAAACAGACAATGTTTTGTCTAGCTAGATTGTCTGTATTTGATTACAAAAAAGCTATTTTTGTCCTGAAATCAGCAAACCTGGAGTTCTCCACATTTCCCAAATCCTTACACTCAATTTATGCCAGTTCTCTTTATTCTCTATATTTCTCTAGATATTCTGTCCCCCTAGCAATTCCTCAATATCCTGCCTCTCCATACCCAGCGTACCTTCAGATACACAGGTCACATTGAAGGTACTTCACACTATCACGAGGTAGAGACTCCAGGCTCTCCAAATATCCCGTCACTGAATAATTAGGGGGGAGAGATGTTGCAAATAATATTTTACAGTCCTGCAAACCGGCACCCTGCAGCTGTGAAAACCGTCGACGTTGCCCTTATAACTTTACATATGCCGTGCAAATCAAATTAATTATCATATTTACACGGGGGGATGCAGCGAAGCATTTATGTTTGTGTTAATTCACACTTGCAGTGTGACCCGTGCTGCAAACTGTTGTATGGTTTTGTCGACGTCACTTCACGTTTGAAACTGCGCGTTTCTTTTTTGACGTTGTTTTCTCTCAGTTCGTCATAATGTAAAGTTGTCACATTTTAATTTACATTTTAATCGAACTTGGTTGCAACTGTATTAATTTCATTTTGTCACAACCGTACTAAAAGTACTCTAACTGACCTACAAAAAGTCCCCCTGGTGCATGTTATAGTACCAAGGATCCATTTCAATTCCGATAATTTGTTAAAGAAAGCAAGAGTTACAAGCTCAAGAGGTGTGTTTGTGTTAGACTGACATGACAAGACGTTGTTGAAATGGGTGGCTTTGTTTATATTTACATTTCCAAGTGTATCAATGTTATAATACTTCGCCACTAATCATCGTTTAGCCTGTTTGGTCGCTTTTGGAAGGTTTTTTAATGATTTGCGGTTGGCGCTTTTCTTCTCATCTTTGTGATCCTTTTGGCTTTATTATTTTATTATTTGGACATGTACCGTTACGTGAGTTTTGCATAGTGTTTGTTAGGTGTGGTCTGTTTTGACACGTGACAACTGACAACATACAGCGTCAGTTATACAAACCTCAGCATCGTCGTCACGTGTCCAAAAATATTTAACTTAAATTGATTAAGAGGATTGGGTGCACATAAGACAGTTAATATCATTGAGTTCGGAATGCTTCAAACGTCATTCCCAAGGAGTGCAATCGACTCGATTTTGTTCCCTACCTCGGCTGGAGGTTTCAAATTTTGGCTCGCCACATTCCGGGAAAGCTCTAGTTTCATTGAAGGTTCACGAATCATAACAGTTACAGCGGTTACATAACAGTTACAGCGGTTACAGTTAATGTGAAGTAAACTGTGATTCCCATGTTACTAAGACATGATGGCTTCCCTTGCACTGTGCAAATATCTTCATGATCTACTTATAACCCAACCTCTCCAGTCACCATCACCCTCTCTCTCTCTCTCTTCTCCTCTGAAGCCCTACCCCACCCTGCCACTTGACACTAAATCATGACCCAACTGTAATACCTCTACAATCCTGATAACACTCGATATGACACTACGTCTAGACAGCCTGCATTATACATCCTGTAAACGCTTTATTGGTAAAAGGACTGTCTGACTCACTAAACGCAGAAAACAAGACACTGAACTGATAAGAGATGCAGATAGAGAGAGAAAAGTGCATATACCAGCTTGCTCTATCGGTCATATCCCAGTTCAGAAGTTCTACTGTATCAGTGGTATTTGGGAAGATGGAGATATTTTGGGAGATAGGATCCCGTGGTTTTATGTGGCTTGCAAGTTATGCACATACTGCATATAATTAGTTATTTGACGTTAAGTTTTACTGTCAAGTTCATCTTTCAGAGAGTAATTAATCAGCCCTCCTCCAGTATATTTGCTGGCTAGGTTCTGTTCCTTACGTGTTTTTTACCTTCGTTTAAAAATGTGCACTGTTTATCGATTTCCCCTATTTGCCATATATTTGCTTTTCCTTTTCAAGTTGTATACTTTCAAAGTCTTAGCTTTTAGTTTGAAAGTTATATACTTTCAAAGTCTTAGCTTTTAGTTTAAGACTTTTATTTTTAAATCGATAAAAATATTTATTGTTCACAACATAGGCTACATGTTTTGAGTTTTTCCCAATTTGAATAAATATTTACTTTACACTTTTCCTACAGGCCAGATGCAAGATGGCTGGCATACAGATTGTAGTGGTTGTCTTCGTGTTGTCAGGTGAGAAAATAATCATAGCAAAATGATTAGATAAGTAATGTGTGCTACAACATAATGCAGACTCATGAAGTCAGACAGATTCAAATAAGCATCAACAGTTTTTCCTTTTTCTTTTTCTTTTATTATTACATCACGATGTAAGGCTAAATTTGGAGTTTTGATTCTCATATTTCAAAAAATATTCTCATTACACAACCTCCAATACCCTTTCATATAACCGGCTAACCCCCTTTCTTTCAGTGGTAGCAGGAGAGAGTATAAACAGATCAAAACGAGGAGCCTCATCAATATCCATAGGACCCCCCGTAGTCTATAAAGGACCTGGCAACCACTCGGTGGAGGTCGGACAGGACTTCCAGTTCTACTGCAAAGTTAAAGGCAACCCCCTCGCTCATGTAGCTATGAAACATAACCGGGAGGAAAGCCCTATCACAGTAAGTTGGCATTTTGAGGTGGATTGGTTTTGTAATGATTGCTTGTGTGGGTAATAAAGCACGTAGCCGTTTGTTGAGAACTAGATCAAATCATAAAGGGACCTATAGAACAATCAATAGGTTAGTACATATAAATGAACAATATAATATAATACTACAACAGTTTTATTATGTCAAGTAAAACACAAGTCAGGTTGTTCTATTACCAAGTTAACATTCTTCATAGCCAAAATAATTAAATGTCATTAATAGTAACCAATAGTAACTCACCCCTTGCTCCTCCTGAAACCACCGCCCCAGGTAATTTTCCCAAAATACGGTACAGCACCGACCGGTGGTAGCACCATAGTCCTCCTGGACTTGATGAACCTCCAGCTATCGGACGAGGGCAGGTACACCTGCTTCGGAGAGAATAAGTACGGACGTGTCGAGAGTCATGGCTGGCTCAAGTTTAAGAGAGGTTAGTGTTTGGGGCAAGGAATTTGTTGTCGATCTGATGAGAGATTTGCTCTGTATTAACTAATACTTAGTTCCTTGGTTTCGTTCATTATAGAATATATTTTTAAAATTTTGAAATTGTCATAAGCATGGTAAATTTTGTCAACATTTACCGTCATAATATGTAAGAGCTGTCTACCAGCCTCTCCTTGGGCTCCCTCCAAGGGAACATCGTGCCTGCTGCACAACGTAGGGTTCCAGTCATTATTTTGGTTAATTAAGAAAACTGGCATTTTGCCCGGTTTTATCATCTAGACTGTGCAGGCATATCACTTTGTGCAATGAATGTTTTCATGAATTTCAAAATCTACCGAGAGCTTACCTAAAGCTCTCTTGCTCTAGAAAGCGCTTTCTTCGTGGACCACTTCTATTAGCATTAACTTCTGTCCAGCTTGAAGTTGTACGTGGTGTTTCAATTAAATCTGAATCTTGCGATTCACTTTACGCCGTGGATAGTTTATTTGTCTAGTTTATTCGATCAAGCGAAACAGTTTCGAGACAGTTAAAACATGTCACTGGTTACAAGCCATGCCTTAGAAGACTATTTAGGATTTGGTGGGGTGTGGTTGAAGCAAGTTCCCGGCCAACATCTCACCCTTAATCTCATTGGACATGACCACCACCTGTTTTAGATAACCGCTCTTCTCTTTTTAGACCGTAATACAATCGCTATCTCATTATTTTACTGGCGCACTTGCTCTTGATTAGGTTACTGGAGCATGATGAATTTTATGATAAAGCTATTAACGTCTAACTCCAGGGGACTTTTGATCTCAAACTGACATTGTATGTACATAGTACGTTGTGAGCGTACAATTCGTTTGATTTCAACGGCGTGTGCGGTCCTTGGCTGGAAACCAAATAAGAACTGCAATATTTAGCAAGCAGTATTTACTCGGCTCCGGAGCTCGGTTTACAGACGATTTGGTCTTGCCAGGTGTTATTATTTAGCTTCGCTTGCCCTTAAATCGTCGTTTTTGTTTCGTTTACACTTTTTGTTTTGCTTAAACCAATTTCCTACACAATTACAACCTGGCCTGTGCGCTGAGTTGAGGAGTTGAGTGGAACTATGGTCAAGCTCCTTACTGCTGTACTGGATTTTCTGATACTAGCTGCGGAGGTGGACTGGACCAAAATAATTGGTGAGGTGGTTATTTGTTGTGCATCTGAGCAGGTCTGATAGTTGGACGACAGGGTGGGCCAGAATTAACTTTTTACCGAGTGCAGATCCTGCATACAGATTGTGGTGTAAAAATAGGGTGTAGAATAAAACTAATCCTCTTCCTACTTACCTGATACTTGTGTGCTTATTAACTTTCTTCCTACTTACTTCCTACTTTCTTCAATCAGTGCTTACATGGAAATTATTCTGGGTCAACCTGTAGAACTGTATAAAGTTTACCTTTGTATCGCAATACGTACTTTAAAGTAGACCGTTTAGTTAGAACAACTACTACATCACGTACCGTGGTACCTACCCGAGTTTGTACCTTTTAGTCTGACTGTTTATGTTTTCAGCGTGTTCGTGTAACTCGTACGGAGTTGCGTACCCCCAGAAACCATGTGACGATGCTGGGGACTGCGTGTGTAGAGAAAACGTGGGCGGAGAGAAGTGTGATAGGTGTTTGGTAAGTTGTCATGACAACATCAGCAACCTTATCTATGTTTACCTAAGATTCCTTACATTTGTATCGGCTATCAAACGATTTTAAATACAAATATAATTATATTTAAGTCTAACCGTTTAAGATAAGAAAGTGCATAGAAAGGTTTTTGCAGAAAATTACCGTACACGTTTTAACAAAATTATTGTTTTTATATTACAAGAAAAACTGGGTGGCTTAAAAGTTAAAAGTAACACCTGTGCTCAAGCCTCACATTGTGTTATTCTAGGCTATCTTAGTAAAATTTCACCATCACAGGAAGGATTCTTCAACTTCCCCTTCTGTCAACCGTGTGAGTGTAACCAGTGGGGAACCGTGGAGGGGTCTCTGAGTTGTGACCAGATAAGCGGAGAGTGTAACTGTCTTCCTGATAAGTCTATATTCGACTCGGTCAAGTGCGACGGATGTCCTCCTGGAGAGTTTTTCAATGTTGTCACCAGCAGATGCTCACGTGAGTTGTAAAACACAAGGAAATATTTTCAAGGTGCTCCGTATCATTAACGCCAAACACCATTTTATTAAAAAATTTCCCGCAATGACATCATTAATTCTGCCGTTTTTATTTGTGACAAATGGGCTAAAAAACCATTTTTGACATTTTGAATTATTTTACCCGAATTTCTTTTTTGGGTCAAGAACTATCCCTGAAAACCACCGGAAACCATTCGAACCAATCACTGGCCCCCAGAAACCCCCTTTTGAAACCACTTAAAATACCAAAATTTGTCATAAATGTGTCAAAAGTTCTCGAAAACCTCTGATTTTTGAGTGGTGCCTAGTTCAAGCACCAGAAAACGGCATAATTATACCCTTTGTTGATATGTAACCCTCTCAACCACGTGATGCCCATATAAGGAGGTATAACATTGTAACCCTCTCCCCTCAGCGTGTAGATGTTACGGTGAAGGGTCAGAATCAGAGAACTGTGACTACACCAGTGGTCAGTGCCAGTGCAAGGAAAACTTCATGGGAGACAAGTGTACTCAGTGCAAGGTTAGTACAGTGTAAGGTGAGCGTGACCTAGAGAAATGTTTTAGAGGGTTATTCTGTTAACCTCTTAACTTGAGTGGTGAGTGGTGACCAAAATGTGTTTCTGCGGTGTTTTGCGATTCAAGGTGTTTGGCCACCCTGGGCATTGGCCACCCCTACGCCACTGTAAACATGGCAATGCGGTCATTCGTATAATTTTAACCATAGAAATAAAATATTTGTTGACATAGGTGGCTCATTCCCACAGTGTGCTCCAATGTCCCTCCGAAACTTAAAGTTCGCTTACAAAGGTAAATATTACTGTCAAGATCTTAATTCTGTTATTTATTTAATTATTAATTATCAATATTTCAGGACGGGTTCTACGACCGAAGTAACGGATGTTATCCGTGTGACTGCGTGGTAGAGAACACCATTGGGTTTGAAAGACGTTGTGATGCTGTATCAGGTACTTCTTCACTTGTTCTTGGCAACAAAACTGATTAGTGAATATATGTTAATAACTAAATCAGCTAATTGATTACTCCACTAATTAATATTATTACTAAATTACCTCCCCCTCAGGACAGTGTCAGTGTAAGCCAGGAGGCGAGTACACGGACTCCCGTACATGTGCCGCTTGTCCGGACAACACTTTCTACGACGCGGACACTGGAGAGTGTAATTTCTGTGGGTGTGACCCCACCGGTACTGACAGGTGCTCTTCCACTGGGGAGTGTGTCTGCAAGGAGAACTACACCGGCATCAAGTGTGATCAGTGCGAGGCTAACTACTTCGGGTTCGAGTACGGTTACTGCCGCGACTGCGACTGTAACCCTTACGGTACAGAGGACGGTAACCTGCAGTGTGATATCAACGGCTATTGTCCGTGTAAGGATGGCCACGATCTGATCAACAGGAGGAAGTGTGATGGGTGCCCGGACGGACAAGCTCTGGCGCCCAATAGTGTGGACGAGTGTGAAGGTTAGTGCCGGTCCTTTTTTTACTGGGATATTTGGGACCTTTCTTGGAATTACGTCGGGATAATATCCTGGATATGTAATCAAATCTTGTGTCGATTCCTGAGGAACTTTATTGGAAAATGTCGTGGTATGGATGATTTTATTGGCTATTTCATGACCTTTCACCTCAATGCCAACATTATAATTAAAAGTTGCTAAAGCAACTGTTGAGAATGGACACCTGCACCTGCACAGTGCTCACACTTGCAGGTGATTTTAATACCGGTCTTCTACTCTATTAAATTGTCACGTGAAGGTCCACTGTTTCAGATTGTCAGTGTGACCCACAAGGTTCACTGGGCAGTAACTGTGATCTCTACACTGCACAATGCGTGTGTAAACCTGGAGTGGTCGGATCCAAATGCGACGAGTGCCAGGTAAGAAACCATCACCATCACCATCACCTTCATCATCACCATCACTATCACCATCACCATCACCACCATCATCACCATCACCATCACCACCATTATAACTATCACCACCACCATCACCTTCATCATCATCATCACCATCACCGTCACCATCACCATCACCATCCCCATCACCACCATCATCACCATCATCACCATCACTATCACCACCACCATCACCTTCATCATCATCATAACCATCATCACCATCACCACCCTAACCTTTACCTATATGGTGACTTTTGTTCTGTTGTATATCCCAGTATAAGATATTTGGAGTACGGTCTGTAACTAACAACCCACCTCAACTAACCCTCTCTCTCTATCAGCCGGGTTACTACGGTCTATCTACCCTGGGAGAGTGCACCCCCTGCGAGTGCGACCCCAACAACTCCATAAGTCTGCAGTGCGACCAGGATTCAGGCCAGTGCCCCTGCTTTGGTAACGTTATCTTCACGGATACTCGCACGTGCAGTGGCTGTCCAACTGGACAGTACAGCAATGTCCCGGGATCTTGTGAAGGTGAGCGGCTTTAACGGCAATGAAACGAGGCCATATTTAGTTATTTTATCAATTCGGGTATTCGCTTCTGAGAGAAACTTTAATCATTAAATTAAATTGTGGGAATAGAATCAGAAATCTTGACTTGCAATGATCGAATATGGTATGGACTTTCTGCTCCTCTTTCATTTTTCAATAATACCATCTAATGATGTTTTTGAAGTACCACACGTACATAGTCATGTCACAAAGTTAGACATAATTTCTAATACAAAATGAGACAAGCTCGTGTTTAGTGAGAGGTTGAGTCGGTGACAGATCAGACATTAAATGAGTAAAATGATGTCAGACTTTCTTATTATCATATTATTATGTATCATTAAACTATTTCAGAATGCGAGTGTAACATGAAAGGTTCAACATCAGTTCAGTGTAACTCTGCCGGTCAGTGCCCCTGTCAGCCTACTGTTCAGGGTCTCAAGTGTGATGAGTGCAAGGTTAGTGACCAAATTAGTGACCAAATTAGCCAACAAATTAGCCAGCAAATAATACCTATTTTTACTGAGCTTGGAATTAATTTGTAATGATTTTCTCCTGCAGCCTGGTTTCTTCAACTTCATGGATGGTGGATGTGAGCCTTGCAACTGTAACGAGTACGGAGTAGTTGATCCGGACGCACCGTGTAATCCGATTTCCGGACAGTGTAGCTGTATTGACGGACAGACCAGGATCAACTCCCGGACTTGTGACGGGTGTCCTAAGGGGTACTTCATGCTGGATGCCACCACCTGCCAAAGTATGTTTTGTTCTGTTGCATTCACTTCTTTTCTACATTTTCTTTCAGATTTTAGGATAATGCATCTCTGTCATAAAATAAGCTCTGTCGGCAATTTTAACAACCACGCCATTTCCTGACGTCAATATATTATTCAGGTTGCGGATGTCATCCCTACGGCTCATCAGATGACAGTGAGTGTAGCCTGTACGAGGGTCAGTGTGACTGTGGAGCTAATGTAGTCGGGACAAAGTGCGACCAGTGCGGTGTAAGTGTTTAACTTTTAGCAAATCACAAGACCAGCAAAACTAAATATTTACGACATTTGTACAAGTCCCCTCGATCACCACTCTCTTTTAAGTGCTAAGAACTAACCCTCACTCTCCACCACAGCCAGGTTTCTACGGTCTGAACCTGGTTGGTATCCAGGAATGTCAGTCCTGTGAGTGTGACCCTGAGGGGTCTCTGAACGCCGTGTGTGACACGTTCGGACAGTGCCAGTGTAAGGAGGGGTACGGTACTCTCAACAGCAGGACCTGTGAGGGCTGCCCTGATGGCATGTACGTCCAGGATGGAGTCTGTGTTCGTAAGTCTGCTTTATTATCAGAGTTATTAAAGTTCTGGGTAGCTTGGATCTTCTGATAAAACAATAATATTTTGCATATTTGTGTTTATTTTTAACTCGTAAAAACAAAAAAGTTATCGGGAGCTACTGAGCTACTTTCCTCTCTGTTAAAACTGTTTTGTCCCGCAGCTTGTGGTTGTGATCCCCGAGGGGCTCTCTCTCAGTCTTGCAGACCTGATGGTACCTGCTCCTGTGGACCCAACGTGGACTCTGCTAAGTGTGATCAGTGCTCAGTAAGTCCCTTCAACCTGCTACCTTCACTTTATCTGTTAGACCCGATCTACATCTAAATTACATCAGTGAAATTTATCAATAAACGTCCAACTGTAAACCTACAAAACCTTTTCCCCTCAGAGTGGCTACTTCTTCGGAGATCAGAACCTGGTGGGATGTATCGAGTGTGGGTGTGATAACACCGGTACACTTGGAGCCAGTGGAGAGTGTAACACCAACACCGGACAGTGCAGCTGTTTGGAGGACCCTACTATCTACTTCATCGACCCCCGGAGATGTGAACCTTGTGGAGAGAACCAGTTTGCCAAGAATGGCAGGTGTACAGGTGAGCTTTACTCAACTTTTGAAATATTTTGTGACTGGATATATTTTGCTTGTGTTTTCGTTTTATGGCCGTTTTTAGGTTTTTTAATTACTAAACTATTTTCTCTCGCTAGATTGTGGCTGTCACCCAACCGGATCTGTGGATCTGCAGTGTGACTTTGAGAGTGGTCAATGTCTGTGCGAAGAAGGAGCGTATGGTATCAAGTGTGACGCTTGCCAGGTTAGCGTTGTTTTAATAGCTCAATCCATCTCGAAACATCTCCCATTTATTGTTTCCCGCTTCCTCCTCCAACTAATTTAAACAACATAACTTTAAAGAAGAAGCATTTACCTACTACTAATACAGTAACTAGCTTAAATGAAATTGAGCAGCAATTAAGGAATCGTTTACGACGATTTTAAAAACAATCAGAAATAGTACAGAGATTCAATAAAACAAATGAAAATAAAGCAGTCTTCGTTCGAGCGCTGGTATATTAAGCTTTAATGCTCCCTTCGGAAAGTAACTTGCAAACCCTTTAACTCTTAAATCATAAACAGAAGTCTCCTTATAATAACTTAGTATCGCTACCTACGCAATAACCAAACAAAATGACTAAATATTAACAGTATGTGGTAGCACTGGTTGGCCTTGTTTTCGCTTTAACTTTCCCCTCGGACATGATATTAGTGAGAACAGTGTTCGGACATGCAAACGTGTTCGGCACCTCATTACCCTTTATAATCCCCCGGAGAACATCTCTCCAGTACCACCTAATGTTCCGACTCCTCACAATGAAGATGAGTGGGTTGACACAGCTGTTAGCAATAGCCAGCCCGGTAGTGAGCAGGTACATGATTCTCCAGCCTTCCTCCTGGAATCTGTTCATGATGATGTCCCCCAGAGTGACCTCCTGGAACAGGAAACTGAGGATTAGGACGGTTCTGGGGAGGAAACAGAGGACTGTACTACTTGTCAGGAGAATAACTGTCACAGCACCTGCTCTCTTCTCCTTAATATAAGGAGTTTCCTCCTGGCTTGCTCCTCCTTTCCTCCGCAGAAGTTCGAGGCCGGTGAGAATGCAGCTGACCAGTGTGGGGATGAGAGGGAGGCAGGTGGAGATGAGCTCGTAAGTGAAGATAAGGATCCCGCTCTTCAGGTCCACTGTGCCCGCTCTGAAGCTGACTTGGTCCGCCACATCTACACTGCCTGGGGGTAAAAATTAATTATTAATTATTATTAGCCACTTAACTTGAAACATGTTTCCCTCTTGAGTTTAAAGTACCCACCAATGCGGAAGATCAGGGTAGCTTTGTAAGCCAGATGAGGGTCATCACACAGCCAGAAGGGTAACACGAACATGACCACACAGAGGAAGAGGTACCCCACTAGGGAGGCGGACACCGCGTGTCTGTTCAGGACTCGGAAGGGACTCCGCACTAGCATGCACCTGCTCACGCTCATCAGTGTGAACTGGAACAAACTGAACCGCATCTGGGGAGATGGGGTGATAAGCGATAAAATAGGGGATAACTAGAATAGGGGATAACTATTATAGCTTTATAGGATAAAAATGATATTATGACCTGATATCGTGTTTTCATTGGATCCACCAGGACGAAGCAACCAAATAAATGGAACATTATACTGGGCTATACAGTGTATAGCCCAGTATTATAGTATACAGAACACTCACCACAACATTGTACATCATGGATATGACTTTGAAGAAGAAGAAGGATTTGTTGACAACGCTGGTAAGTTTAATAGCCCGGAAACTGATGAGGTTCTGGAAAGTGCCGAGGACGGTGCAGTTGATGAAGTCTGTGGTACAGAGCACCACGAACAGCAGGGTCGGCACGTCCTTTATGTTCTTGTTTCGGAGCAGGAAGATTATAATGAGGAGGTTTGTTGAAGAGCCTACCAGTGTGAAGAGTAGGTTGATTCCGCCTATATACAGCTGAGACAGAAGATTATACAGTTTATGAAAATAAAACATAAGAACTAAGAAACTTGTTTTATCATTTCAAGCGGTTTAACCAGAAAATAACAATTTCATGGAAGTGCAGAGCCGTAACTCTAAAATACTTAAATTCCTTGAAATGTTAGGCTGTTTAACACTATATGTTGCTATCACCATAGCAACACATAGCAACTTTACCTCTTTAGGATCCTCAACAATAGATTCATAGCGGTCAGAATCTTCTAAGAACTCGTCATGGTTACTGATGTGACAGTAGGAAACTCCTGACATGATGGTTTCATTTGCCATACCCCTGCAATATCTGGAGTAGAAGAGATAAACTTTACAGCGATAGTTTGATTAAGTAGTGCAAGTTTGAGACACTGGAACAGTAAGAACTCGGTAAACAGTGCAAAGCGATAATGTCTAGTCCTGGTACAGGCTACGGAGGTAATGGATTTTGAACTATAATGGTAGCAGCCAATATAAGAGCTCATTACATCATTATTATAGGGAACATAATATGGTCAAGTTGGTTACCCCAAGCGTTCAATATTTGAATGAATGAACAAAATTACACATATTTCGGTTCGGGTTAATGACTTCATCAAAATTAAAATAAATCCATCAGTTTTCAATATTTTTGCATGAAATTTTCGGAATCGATTAAGAATTGCATTTCAAGCTTATTATGGGCAGCGATTTTGTATTTAGACCTCCAAAAAGATAAGGATATAGGACATATGAAAGTATATCCCCGCCCTCAAAACAGGAAAAAACCTACATTTTTATAAAAACCTACATTTTTATTAAAGTATATAAATATACTTTAATATGCCCCCCCCCCCCCCCCCCAAGTAAGCGAAATGCTTTATCAATTATACTGCATTGATTAAATTGATAGAGTTAGCGAGTGAAGTTTCTCGTTCAATCACAAATATATTAAAGAACTTGAAACTAAATGCAAACGGTATTTATACGAGACAAATAAACCGGATTCATGAAACTTTAATGAATCTGATGACAACTAATTAAGATTTCGTGTCATAACCCGGGACAGGTAGGTACAACGTCAGCACCTTATTAAGAAGTTTCTAAAGAATAGCGAGTTATTCAGTTCCCCGGTTAACTCGCACTTTAGTTTCTAACTTCAATAAAGGTTTTTAGAAAATCGAGCGTTTTATCCCCTTATTAGAGAAAAATATCAGCCAGCTTGGTGCTACAAGTCTCTCTAAATAACTTATTACGCGCATGAAGCAGCTGACAATTCGCCCACGTGCTGATTCTTCATGCTCAATTACTGGTTACGACTACCTTTTTATCAGGGAGATCATCCAGGCATGTTATCTGGTGAAGGGGTGACGTAAAGTACAGTTTTTCAAATGTATGGAGGAATCGCAATACATCTACCACGAACTTAAAAGGAGACGTTATTCGAAATAAAATACACTTTGTGTTTCGCTCATAAAGCTCATCCTTAAAATAACGGTCTCTTGTGCTTCAATAGTCAGCACTATTCAACACATACAACGTATTTTTGTTTTGCTAACAAAATTGACCAGATTGTGAGATATTCTCAGATCAGACACACTAAAAACTGATCCATTGTCCTTGTCTTGGGAACGAATCAATGGTGACAAGCAGTGCGATCTACAATCTTCATAATCAGACCATAGTTTTAATTTTCATTGTCTAAAATTGCAAACATGTGTTCAAAATCTAGGTAAACTATAGGTAAAAATATAATATTAATCAGTCTTGTAGATCTAACCAGTATTTTTGTTGTCCTCTCAAAAACCTGGTTCAAATAATGTAGTTCAGGACGGTTACACAGATAAGTACTTTCGTAACCGTGTCGGTATAGAGACAAAATATATTGATCACATTACGTCGTTCATCCTTAATAAACATGATATTTGCACTAGTCGCTCTCAGGGTTGTCAGACATGTCAGAGATACCAGACTTCATTAAGTGGTACCGGGAGTACTGTTAAATTGTACAGGACAAATTTTAATGGTTGCGTTCAAAATATTGCGTGAAAGGAGACAGCAAACTGTTATAATTCCTGGAACTATTTGGTCATTCTCTCTGCTGAAAGCGGAAACGACTGATAGCAGTCGAAGTTAGCAATCTCACGTAGATGATCCACTCTGTAAGAAGATTAGGAGACAGCTGCGTTCTCTATAAAATGTTTAGGCAGAACAGTTTAAAGTTTCGACAGAAAAAAATGCTTGTTCTTAATCGGGGACTTAACAGTTGTGTGCCTTTGGATAGTATAGATACTAGTGAACTGGTATCTACAGATAAGATAAAAATCAGCGAGTATAATGATTCAGATTGTTATCAAAACAAGACTATTAACATAATATTAAAAAAATCAGAGAAACGGCAGAGAAAAACAAAATCCTACAATGAAATCATGCAAATTAGTAGCTGGACGCTGAATCAGCTAATAATTACGATTGGGGCAACAGAGAATTATAGAATTTGCACGAATCATCGAGGGTGGTCCACAATCAAACATCTAAAGATAGACGGCAGGTCACAAATAGCCCGTAGTCGTTCAGTGCAGATAGATCTAAATCAGGGGGGGTGTCAGGACCGTGTATGTCAGGTCAATCTCAGCCTCCTGACTCAGACCGTATCATTCCATTAAATGCACCCGTTCTCCGTGGCTTGGTCGCAACTACCCAATATCTAAGTAAAGATATACGAGGATTTAAGAGAAACGATATCAAGCTAAGAGACATGTGAGCTGTGACAAATGTGTTTAAATCAGCGGGAGAGTTGGTACATGGAGCGAGGTCAATTAGGTGGCTGTTGGTAGATATTTGATGTTGCATTGCAATTACACGTGGGACAGGTTGATTATCCAACTTTCTAACAGAGTACAAACCTACCACAAGATCACGCACAGATCGTCTTTCAAAGCAACGCAAACAAGGCTACTAGCCGAGGAAATGAGACATTTTGACATTTCGACTAATAACGATACTGGCCACGGGGAAATGAATTAAAAGAAACCTCTCTGTTAAAACAAACACCGGTCTAGGTTTGAGGTACTAACCTTTATTCGCTTATTCGTTTAACTTTAACCTCAAATCTTACTTGTTCGATTATGTTAGACCATGCTATAAAATACAGCCTTGGTATAATTCCCAATAAGAAAAGAGGTTTTCAAAAGCTAGTTAATAGTGGGTCAATTCAAAACTTTCAAAAAGAATATTGATCGAAATATCTCGGTAGTCAAAATTCTCCAAAGTGTGCGTTTTGAGTCGCGTTTTAAGCGCGCAAATTGTCGCTTCTTTAAGTTTTAAGGCTTCTTGCGACATAGGGTCGTGATCTTGTGAGGTTTCTATATGAAATTGCACAGAAATGAAGCTGTACATCCACTAAATGCCATTAAAATTTACCTCTAAAATTGATTCAAAAATATTGAAATGAAGCCCCAAAATCTACCAAAATGGTACCAGATAGAATTGCATTTTTCGTGGGACCATCGTGACAAAATATTTAAAAATGAGTAAAAGTAATAGTCTAACCCTCTCTACCGCAGGACGGATACTTCGACCTAAGCCAGGGATGTCTGCCCTGCAACTGCGACGTTAAGAACACTATAGGAGAGGACCCCAGGTGTAGCTCGGACGGACAATGTCTGTGTATCCCCGGACTCGCCTACACGGACTCTACCAAATGTACCACGTGCCTAGAAGGAACTTACCAGAGCGAAGGACAATGCTTACGTGAGTTGTATATTACTATTAATATAGACTACCAACTTTTAGGGCAATAGATACGGGAGTTGTTTAGTGCTACGATATTAATAATCGGGACGTTCCTCATTAATAACCACTAATGAAGGAGGTTGCAACTTGCTGCACAGTGCTCTGACAGAATTACCTCTGAATTACTTCTAAAATATTGTGGTAATGTGAACGAAACCTTTATATCGTCCCTTATATAGCCCCGGGTGAGGTCAATAGTAGTCGCTGATAATTAGATATTGATAGGTCACGGAATATTTGGTTGTCTTATATATACGTATATACAAGACAACCTAATCTAGAACCTAATATAGTGGAGCAGGAACATTGAACCTAAATAATGGTACCAGACATCAACATAGTGGTACTTGCAGTCAAAATTTACGGACACACTGGGTACGATAACCCTTGATTCAATAATGGTACCATTATCCGAATCAATACGCAAAACAGCCAAGACACAGCCATTTCAGCAGAAACTGCTTTGATTAACCTGCCGTAGCTTTATTATACCGCAGCCGAGAAAAGCGGGCCCTAGAGAATCCCACCTTTTAGTGGACAATTCTACTGCAATTTCACGGTTTTAGCGAGGCCAGGTTTTCTATTAGTTAAGAGCCTGTTTTTAATTACCAGCGTTGACGATGCAAAGAAGGCGCATACCAGAAGTAATATAGTGTAGCGTAACGAGTAGTTAAGACAAGAATATAATTTATGGGACCATCTGTGAATTAATAGAGAACTGGTTACAAAACTTTCTTATTGTGACCGGAGCTGTAAACTTGTTTCACAAGTACAATGTACAAGTAACAGTACCTGAGTAGTGAGTACCAGTAATTACATATAACTAGTGGCTGAATGGTACCAGCTACACAAGTACAATGTACAAGTACCAGTACCTGAGTAGTGAGTACCAGTAATTACATATAACTAGTGGCTGAATGGTACCTGCTACACAAGTACAATGTACAAGTACCAGTACCTGAGTAGTGAGTACCAGTAATTACATTTAACTTGTGGCTGAATGGTACCTGCTACACGGAGTACATTGTACAAGTACCAGTACCTGAGTAGTGAGTACCAGTAATTACATTTAACTTGTGGCTGAATGGTACCTGCTACACGGAGTACATTGTACAAGTACCAGTACCTGAGTAGTGAGTACCAGTAATTACATTTAACTTGTGGCTGAATGGTACCTGCTACACGGAGTACATTGTACAAGTACCAGTACCTGAGTACCAGTAATTACATTTAACTTGTGGCTGAATGGTACCTGCTACACGGAGTACATTGTACAAGTACCAGTACCTGAGTAGTGAGTACCAGTAATTACATATAACTTGTGGCTGAATGGTACCAGCTACACAAGTACATTGTACAAGTACCAGTACCTGAGTAGTGAGTACCAGTAATTACATATAACTAGTGGCTGAATGGTACCTGCTACACAAGTACAATGTACAAGTACCAGTACCTGAGTAGTGAGTACCAGTAATTTCATTTAACTTGTGGCTGAATGGTACCTGCTACACGGAGTACATTGTACAAGTACCAGTACCTGAGTACCAGTTATTACATATAACTATTGGCTGAATGGTACCTGCTACACGGAGTACATTGTACAAGTACCAGTACCTGAGTACCAGTTATTACATATAACTAGTGGCTGAATGGTACCTGCTACACGGAGTACATTGTACAAGTACCAGTACCTGAGTACCAGTTATTACATATAACTAGTGGCTGAATGGTACCTGCTACACGGAGTACATTGTACATTGTACATTGTACATTGTACATTTTACAATGTACAATGTGCAGCTACACGGAGTACAAAGTCCCTAGTGCTCCTGATTTTAACGACTAACGAGTATTTTATTGTTCAATGAAACAGATGGAATGGTATTGTCTTGAGAATTTACCTTTTAAAAAGAAAGTATACATCGACTTTTGACTTTTAACATAAATCAAATGGGTTGAATTATGGTGGTAAGTAAATTGTTTAATTTAGGTAGAAAATTAAAACAATATAAGCAAGAATATAAAAAAACAAGACTCTTTAAAGGAAACAATATCCTTTGTTCATGGCAAAACTTTAATGGGTCGAGTTACTGTATAAAACACATCCACTTGACTCCTGGAGGCTGTTTGACTCAGGTCTCAGATATACCCTATCTGACCAATGTAACATATAAACCCAGGATGCACTACATGAAGAATTCGTTGTAACTTTGTTTGAAAAGCATTAATATCATTAGTGATTAGGCTCCTGGTCGAATAGATGCTAACATATAAGTTATACGGTACATAAAACAATAAATTCGCATGTTTTGTTCGTTATATGATATAACAAAACATGCGAATTTATTGTTTTATGTACCGTTGGAGAACCGATCGATCTGACATCGGCAATTTTTTAATAATGTGGTGTTTTTAATATTTTTGAGACCGTATAAATACGTCCTTTTTTATTTCATTTCATTTCGTAATAACCAATAGTAGGGCAGGGGCCAGGGCACCAAGCCATGTGCAATAATCTCTAAAAGTACCATGATGTTTTATTTACCCATCGAGCAATATACTTGAAGCTAGAATCGTTACAGGTGCCAGGTGCCTGCACCATAAACCATTCGAGATTGGATTAAAACTGGTCAGGAAATGAAAGCCCTCTTTTGTTTACGGCCCTTTATTCACCGCAACGTTCTATTCATTAACCCTAAACGCGAGCTAGCTTTCGTACAAAGTGCAGGTGTGTTCTCCCAATTTAAGTGTGGTGTAACAATAACCCCTAGTGGTTTTGATCTTTCACACATGGTGGAACATGATGTTCTTAAATTTCTTTTTTGGTCGATATACAAGAACTATCGCTGAAATCCATCAATAAGCATCAGAATTAACTGCCGGCCCTAGCCTGAGAAACTTCTTTTTGGGAAACCCATAAAATGCAGAAATTGGCTAAGCTGTGATAAAATTGTTAAAAACCTTCAATTCTGGACTGGGCTTAAGCAGAAAATGGATGAGCTGCAATCTGCATCTGCGTTGATACCAACCATAAACTATTGCTTTCCGAAATATAGTGGAAAAAAGCTTGCAATGCGGTTTATTTCTTGTCAATTATTAGAATTATGGTATAATTATAATCAATTTAATTAATAGACGAGCTGTGGGTCGTTCTCCTCTCTACGTGATTATCACCGGTTATAGTAATAATTATCAACTATTTATCTCATCAGTAGGCGAGAAACTAGCTGTCCTTATACTCTTGACATACGATTTCTTAATTCTTATTATGTTGAAGCTTTGAAGGATAATTATCAATTGCTGACAATATTATTAACTAATTACTATTTACTAATTACTAATTACTAATTATTAATTACCCCGCAGCTTGTGACTGTAACATGGGAGGCTCTGTCAGCGGAGTGTGTGATAAGACTAGTGGGCAGTGTGAATGTCTGAGCAAGGTCACCGGACGCAGTTGTGACCAGTGCCAGGTAGGACAAAACACTAACCCCCCCCCCCCAACACCCACAACATCCACACCCCGGACCCCAGCCCCCCCCCCCCCCCCCCCCACAACACTTGAACAATAAGAACACCACTAAACTAATACATATTATATCTGTAAAGACATATAATTTATAGTCGACAAAACGGGTTCTGGGGTTAAATTACGTTAGGTTCGGAGTACGTCGTAGTTAGAGTTATTGTAAGAGTATTGTAAGGTTTGGTCAGAGCATTGGTTATGAAGTCTGACGGGATATTGGAGACTCCAACTTGGAGTTAGTAACTAACTGAATGGGGCTTTTTTCGGCTACCGGACAATTGAATCCAATTAAGACAATTTAGACTAACCCTAACTTTAACCCTAACCTTAACCCTAACCTTAACCCTAACCTTAACCTTAACCCTAACCCTAACCCTAACCCTAACCCTAAGTCCTAACCAACTAAGCTAATTGGTTAGTGGGAACTAGGTTCAATTGGGTCAAGTTGTCGAAATACCCCCAGCACTTCATCACCAACTCAACCCGGAAGTAAACCCTCCTTTTCAGGGTGATACATACGGAGTGAACTCAGGAGAGGGATGCTCACCTTGCAACTGTAACCCCGAGGGTACAGAGGGAAGGAGCACAGCATGTGATCACGTGACCGGACAGTGTGACTGTATTGAAGGGCAAAACAGGTGAGGGATGTTTATATTGTTATACGACTGCGGTTGTGTTAGTAGCAGTGCCGTTATTTTAATTTTTAATGATGACACTCTTGAGTGTCTATTCTGATGTTCTGCAGATGTTGTATATATATATGAAAATGATTTTACTCATTTGTAGTGCGTCAAACTCTTTCGTCTGATTATTGAACTAATATCACCTTCGGTTTTATCAGTTATATAATCACAGTGCTACAAAGTTGTGAGATCATCGTACATAATCTAGGCGATTATCTTTAGTGGGATTTTGATAAGATGACCAGTCTTACTCCTAATTTCGCTACAGTTATGAAGAATTCCCATTCCAGTGTTATCGTGTAATCTGTATAGTCCGTAGGGGGGATGTTTTCATATTATCACATTAATTAAGGGGGAATGGTTTTCTATAGTAATAAATGCGAAGTGACAACCAGTTGTAACTAAGAACAGCTACCAAGTAACAAGTAATAAATACAAAGTTCAAGCGATTTGTAACAAGTAACATCCCAGATACGAGCCCAGAACTTGTGACGGCTGTGTTAACAACTTCCTCTTCAACGAGTTCCTGCACCCCGACACCAGAGAGTGTGTTCGTGAGTACTGTTAACACTTCTTGTTACCCCCTGATACTGCCATTACCACTGCACTTCATGTTAGCTCTTTACCTAGTGTTTAACATCATGACCTGTTTATAACAGCTTATTTGACGCTGTAAGTTGAGGGTACTTGATTAGTTCCCGTCTCAGTGCATGCCACAGGGGCTTTAGATGCCAAATAGAGGATAATAAGATGGTTTTGATAACGAACTAACCCACCGTTATTTCTACTGACAGAGTGCTCCTAGGACTATGATATTAACACGACCCTTAATGAATTGGAGTAACATCAATATACCGTCCAATATCTAGCAAAACGTCAGTGAGAGGTTATATAACTCAACCTCATACAACAAGCTTTTATCCTAGGGAAATGTTGATAATATGCTAAAGTAATAATATGCTAATTATGCTAAAGTGTCTGTGTTTCAGCTTGCGAATGTTTGGATGATGGATCAAGACAGTTAAATTGCACCCTTTACGCGGGACAATGCGACTGTAACCCCGGTATCATTGGAGACAAGTGCGACACAAGTAAGTGAAATGTTAACTGTCTAGTGAATCCAGTCTCCAGATAATGGAGTCCAATTAGTTAATTGGGTCCTAATCGGTTATAATTATTTAGTGGATTTTTAACCTGCTCAACGTCTGAATATTAATTTTCATTGATTACCGAAAAGTAGTAGAATGTTCTATACTGTGAATTTCTGAACAATTTCTGCTAAAAGTAGAAATTAAAAGCAATGTTTAATGAGTCGTGTCTGTACATTTTTCAATATGCTCCTAGCATTTAGGGAGTTTAATCTAAGTGTAAAATGTTGTGGCGTGCAATTTCTGTGAAACTGTGATGTGTATAGAAAATGTGTGGAAGTGAAGCATTAAAAATGTGGGGGAAAGCAAAGAAACTCTCGATGGTAATGTAAACACTTTATAGACTCGACAACTTAAACATTTATATACATTAGAAGTTTTCATCAAAAAGCTGAAATATTCTATATTTTTAGAGCACAATCAGATCCTTTTGCTAATGCTCATCAAAAGATGCTCAAGTTAACGATTTCTTTGCTCCGTGGGATTTTTCACTTGCAGTCACATCATCCACCTATTTTTTCGTTATTCTAAATAATATTTGTGAAGCACTTTTGTGATATTTGCCTTATTTCTTGCTCGTGACGTTTCTATCAGATAAGATACTCTTTTTGCTGTTGTGATGTTCTTTTTGGGTTTGCTGTAAGCTAGAAGAACACCTTGCCGCTGGGTTTGCTGCCTGTGTTAACCTCGTGTGCTGTAACCTGTGAATCCCCCTGTGAATCCCCCTGTGAATCCCCCTGTCCCCTCTGACTCACTGCTCCCAGGATCCTGCAGACTAGAACCCTGGACCGTGTGGTCCGAGTGTCAGATCAGAGAGGGACGTTGTGTACGTCTCCGGTACCAGGACAAACTGGAACCAGCCACTGGAGACCACGACACCATACCCTTCAAGGAGAACTGCAGTAATCCTAACATTGAGGTGGAGGAGTGTGAGGAGGAGGAGTGTGAGAACTTTGCTAGGAGGACTAGGAGGATCCCGCGCGCTTTGTGAAGTTAGTGCACGTGCAATGGTAGTTAGTGCACGTGCAGAAGATGTTGCGTGCACGTGCAGTATGAGACTTGCTAACTTAAAATAGTGAGCAGGCTGAGAGATCGACATCCCCTTGACCTTTTTGTCTCATTTTGCAGTTTTGTGAGGTTGAGAAGTTTCAGAAAATATTATTGGGAATTGGTTTAAATCTATTTATGCTGGATATTGATTTGTGGTTTGTGCAACGTGCATATATATAAAGGGCAATATATATTACAGAAAATGACAGGAAACTTAAGATCGCAAGTCGAGCTTGGTGAAACAGGGACAAAACTAATACAAATGTATAATATCAAAAATGAATAATAAGTTGATTACCAATTTACTAAAATAGTTACTATATTGGATTTCAGTTATTTTCTTGCTGGAATGTTTATGTAGCCAATATTTAATTCTATTTGTACAATTTGTAAATAATTAGTTGCTGAAGTATCATTGTATCATAGATGTACTTATCGAAAAATGTTAATAGTTTTTTATTATAAATCTGTGGTTAGATATTCCAGAGGATAAATTTCAATGAATATTTAAAAATTCGCATCTGACGTATTTTAATAAAGATATCAGTAAAAACGGCTCACTTCTGTCACTCACATTATTTTCTACATAAACTAAAACAGCAGGTCAACAAAAACAAAATGCAAGGTAAATATGAAATGTTCAAATTCAACTTAAATGGAAAAATTTACTGATCAAGATTAAATTAAAAATCAAAACAGTTAGGCAAACAACATGTGTCTCTTCACATTTGAAGCTTACACAGGTATACTCCAGTTCAGAATAAATATCAACGATGCAAAAATGTATTATTCTAGCAGAAATTTGGGGATTCAAGGTTAATTTGACAATTTATCCGGATACAATTTACTTCAAAGAATAGCAACTCCCAAAGTTGTCCCCTTCACTCTCCTCTCTGGCTCTTCTAGCTGAGCTTGGATTAGTAGCCCCACCCTCCTGACATACGTCAGTGAGGAGTATTCAATTAAAGGGTAACGCTATTTACCTGTAAAGCTGTCACGCAAGGTAGTTAGATAGTTACCGATCTCACAGAAACAGTGGAGCCGTCTTTGTAAGCTCGGTAACTATGGTAACAGTGGAGCCGTCTCTGGAGTGAACCTGCAAAAATGAGCCTCGGCATACTATCCTTAGAAAATATGTTATAAAATGGATTAAAAACAATTCGTAAGTGCAGAGCCAGAGTAGCGAAAATCTAATGGTCAACAATTTTAATTTATAAGGAGAAGAGTTGTTATAAATAAGATTAGTATTATAGGAGGAGAGTTATATAAGTTATAAAGAAGATTGATTAATTCTCGTTCATTCTAGTTATCTAGAGAATAGTCAGCTTGTTTGATGTAAAATAGCCTAATTTTTGCGAGAATTAGTTTGTATATTTCCAATACGTGTAGCGCTAGAGGACATAACAAACATTACCGAGCATTTGAGATATTAGTTAAATGCCCAGTCTCGACTAAATAATTTGACAAACACCAAAACCGTTTATGATAATGAGGTCATTGGCGCTGCAAATAACTTCATTATCGTATTTTGAAAATATAGACAAAAACAATATTATGTTCACTTTTAACTTTAAAAATTTTTTTTTGTATTCGCACTTTCAAAAAAATTCGCTTTTTCTCATAAACAGTTTTGGTGCATGTCCCCTTCAATCCCATGATAACTGAAGTTATACCTATTCAAAGACAATGGTTAAGAAAATATACGTGCTCCGACGACCATACATATAGGGCAATGAGTTATTCTGAAAGACCCAAGAGGTATAATCTTTACTCCTGCGACTGTTCTCATTGAAGTTCTGACCTCCGGACTCATTAACAAGCATTGAGACTGAGCTGCAGTCATGGTTCAACACCTCCGGACTCATTAACAAGCATTGAGACTGAGCTGCAGTCATTGTTCAACACCTCCGCAGTCATTGTTCAACACCTCCGCAGTCATTGTTCAACAGCGTCCGGAGTTGTCAGACGTTAAGAGATACATCATTTTGAAACAGGAGTTGACATATAAAGTATAAGGGAGTTACCCAAAGGCCCAATATTGACATGACATAATGTGTCGTAATACTAGACAGTTAACTAAAGATGAGGATGTTAGTTGTGTCGCAAGATTGTTACAAACATTTAAATTTGACAAAACTCGGTACAAATCGTTTTACCCTGATATACTCAACTCAGTATATAATATCCGTGCAGATATTGTCTTACGGTGATGAATATCCCAAATGGATTCCAACAGGTTTCAACTGTTAACAAAACTCTCCTAAACAAAGATACCTGTAACCTGAACATTTCCTGTAAATAAAATATAGTTTAATGGGCCCCAGTTATTGTTCAACAAATGTATCTTACCTTGAGAGGCCACTTTAGATAAGCCAATTCATTTGTAAACAGTATTACGATAAAACTCCGATGATCATATTAAATGACAGTTGTTTTTTCTCTCTCTCTCTCTCTCTCTCTCTCTCTCTCTCTCTCTCTCTCTCTCAGACCCACCTTGCAAGGTTTGTTAATGAAACTGTTGGTTCATCCCTCCGCCACCTAAACAATCAGTGTTTACCCCACTACAGTACTATAGTGCACCGATTTAGAATTGGCGATTTTTTAGAAAGTTCAGCCAATCAAAATACGCATAAAACCCAATCCAATTAATACCGAGGACCATTTTTGATCGATCCCATTGATATTCTAAAAGCTCCTTTCGAGTGGAAATGATACAGAGATATCGACCGCCAATTCTAAATTGTTGCACTATAATTATAGTGCTCTCATTAACAAATGAAATGTAGCTTTAAATTCTAACTAATCAAAGTTTCCAGACTGACTTAACCAAGTATGAAGTGTGTAATGTATGAAGTGTGATCAGGCAAGTGAGCAAGTGAATGTGCGTTAAACTTCGAATCATGTCAGTTTAATTCACACTTATGATGATCTGAGTACAGAATCCTGGCTGAAGACATGAACTAATCCTCTTCGTGTTTTAGTCGCGCGAGCGCAGGGTGACGTGGTGAAGTACGGAGATCCAGCCCTGCTGAGTTGTGTCCTGGAGAACGGGGCTGCTAATGAGACCCTATGGATTGGTCCTGATGGGTGCGAGAGTGATGGCTGTGGACATCAGGTGCTTGTTTAGTAAATAGTTCTTTATTGTTAGGATATCAGTTGAAAAGGAGAGTGGTAGATCAACTGGCGTTTCTGATTTCACTTCTGTTTCTAAGTTCGTTTTTGACTTAACTGATCAAGAAATTGATCCATCAATTGCTAAATCATCCGATTAATTCCTCGATTAGTTAACGAATGCTATAAAACCCATTCTCTCAGATCCTAGAGGAGATGAACTTTATGTCTCTGAACTACTACCCAGAAGATGACGAGGGATACACGTGTCGGTTTATATTCGACCATCCGGAGCAGGGTCAGGTGGTACAGGAGCAGATCGCTTATGTGGACGTTATCAGTGAGTATAACCAGCTAGCTTGGAGGGGCCATGTTGAACCTACCCCCAGATCTACTAGTTGATGTGTTATTAAGTTTACAGCGTTACTTGACGGGAGAAGAAAAAGAAAATTATTATTCTAAAAAGCTTGAAATTTCAAGAATATAATCTCTTCCGACATGACTCTTAAAAACTAGAAGCTTCTAGAATAATCCCCCCCAACAGCCTACGAGCTGAGTAGTGTACGAGTACAGAAAGGAAGTGAAGTGAGCTTGACCACTGTTGTTAACGGTATGTCGGAGATGCCAAAGCGGGGCATTGAGTGGAGACACAACGGCAAGTCCAGTACACAAAGAAAAAGTCAGATCAAGGGGACTGAGGTCACTGACGAATTGTAAGTTGTCATATTTGTCACACCCTGAACTAGAGTTTTCACATTTGTCATACATTTGTCACACCCTAGACACTAGACTGTTTAATGACAATTTTGGGGAATCTTTGACGTCGACTTCCCCTTTAGATTTCGTACTGTAAATACTAAATATCATATAATAAATGTAATATAATAAATTGACCTGGTATTGGGGTTGACACGTCCGCTGATCGTATTATGGAATCAAAGACGTAATTTTGACAAAGCAAGCTCGCCAAAATTGTCAACACTACAGGTATACTATCCTTATATCCTAAGTACCCAACAAGAACTCCATGCTGACGATAGCTCTTTTTCAGTTTACAATTGGACTCCGAATGGACCCTAAGGTCCGTCATCAATCTGGGAGTTGTAGAGAAATCTGGAAAGTATAATGCTCTGTTCAAGTACAGGGGCAAGGCTTTCAAGGCTTTCTCTGTCGTCACCACCTACGGTTAGTTGTCCCTTTTGTCGTTATTTAAGGTAGGATCTAGTAGCATCGCAAAATTACAAATCACAAGTTAAACTATAAATTTACCCATGTCTGCAAACATACGGTATACTGTTTTTACGATATACACCTTTTGACATCCCTAAAGAGTGAAGACCCTAAAACGTAAGAGACCCTTATTATCTTCATAACCAATGAGTCCCTTATTATCTTCATAACCAATGAGACCCTTATTATCTTCATAACCAATGAGACCATTATTATCTTCATAACCAATGAGACCATTATTATCTTCATAACCAATGAGACCTTTATTATCTTCATAACCAATGAGACCCTTATTATCTTCATAACCAATGAGACCCTTATTATCTTCATAACCAATGAGACCCTTATTATCTTCATAACCAATGAGACCCTTATTATCTTCATAACCAATGAGACCCTTATTACCTTCATAACCAATGAGTCCCTTATTATCTTCATAACCAATGAGACCCTTATTACCTTCATAACCAATGAGACCCTTATTACCTTCATAACCAATGAGTCCCTTATTATCTTCATAACCAATGAGACCCTTATTATCTTCATAACCAATGAGACCCTTATTACCTTCAGAGTGTAACTGTAACCCAGTGGGATCTCTTAACAACGCGTGTGACTCGACGACCCTACAGTGCGAGTGCAAGGATAGGTACCAGGGTCTCAATTGTTACGAATGCAAGGTAAATAATAATATGAAATAAGTTTAATAAGTGACCTAACCGTTGGTTTTAAGAATTAATGAACAGTTAACCCAAATATCCTGTTCTCTTTGGGATGACGATATCGTTGTCTTAAAATTGATTAAAGAGTTAAAATTTAGATGTGGATTCGGGTGGCAGGTGAAGCAAATATTTTTACGTAACAGAAATTAACCAATCAGCTTCCACTATTGACCAATGACCAATCAAACTCCAATTCAATCACTGTCACGTGTCAAAAAGAATGCTTCGACTCCCCTATCCACAAGGGAATATCACAGCATGTCAAAATTCGTTATAAATAGTTTAATAGAAGCTACGGTTACCGAAGAAAAGTTCGACATTTTAATAGATAGTTAAGCAAATATCGGTGTGTTTAAGAGGTTCTAACAAACCAAAGACTGTAGCATTTAAAATATTGACGAGAAAAATGAATTCATGTATATATTGTGGAGTTAAATCAAATATCTAGTGACCTGGTCTTTTATGTTGTGTTTGTGTCAGTAAAAGGTTTTAAACGATTTAACCTTTCACTGACACAAGCAAACATATTTAAAGAACACCAACAACTCGGACCCGCAACCATTTAATAAAATTTAGTAACGGGTCCGAGTTGTTGGTGTTCTATAAATAGCATTAAATAGCTCAGTCTAACCGTTCACTCCACCCTAGGACGGGTTCTATGATTCTGAGGGCGGATGTCACCCCTGTAACTGTGACATGGGACACGCTTCAAGTAACGTTTGTGACAAAGAGACCGGACAATGTGACTGCCCTGCTGGTATCCCCTTCGTTAATACTAGACGGTGCGTTTCCTCAGACATTTTGAATTTATTACTTGTTAGAAGATAGGGGATACGTTAAATAAGTTAAAAGCTCTCAAAACGTTACTGTTTAAATTGATGCATATTGCACAGTCTTGAGAAGTTTTGTTTATAATTAATTCTTATTTATTTATTTGTTACCCTTAACAAAATACTTCATAAATTTTCATTTTATCGATTGAATTATTGATCGATTTGTTAAAATATCAGATTATTAATTAATTAACTGCCGACTCCAGATAATTAATTAATTAACTCCTCACTCCAGATAATTAATTAATTAACTCTTCACTCCAGATAATTTATTAATTAACTCCTCACTCCAGATAATTTATTAATTAACTCCCCACTCCAGATAATTAATTAATTAACTCCTCACTACAGATAATTAATTAACTCCTCACTCCAGATAATTAATTAATTAACTCTCCACTCCAAATAATTAATTAATTAACACCCCACTCCAGATAATTAATTAATTAACTCTCCACTCCAGATAATTAATTAATTAACTCTCCACTCTCCAGCTGTGAGAAGTGTCCAGCTGGAAGGTATCTGGTTGACGGAGCATGTGTACCGTGTGGGTGCGTTGAAGATAACACCGTAGATAACACCGCTGTGTGTAACGATGACGGACAGTGCCCCTGTGTAGAGGGATTCCCTTACGTGGACACCAGAACTTGCGAGAGATGCGATCCTGGATCCTTCTTGAACAATGGCGTTTGTGAACGTAAGATTTAGATAAACAGGGCACTCGCCGATATTGAGATTATTTCTCTGAAGCGTTGCATTTCTGACATCTCGAAAATTCTTGTATCGTAAAAATGTCTCTAATAATCTTAATAGTCAACCGTTTAAAATTACCCAAAAACGGAATTATATTTCCAATATAACTCAATGAGTTACACTATATTGCACCCGACCAATAATCAATATTTCAGCTTGTGGTTGCTTCGGTAAGGGATCAACTTCATCGGTCTGCAATGAAAATACGGGCAGATGTGAATGTAAAGGCAACTACAAAGGCAACAAGTGTGACACTTGTCGGGTATGTTTGTGCTGATAATTCTAAACCACTTAACAAATTTAAGAACGGAAACTTTATCATCTTTGCCCCTGTTTAGAACCATTCTTTTTGATTTCGTATCTACTCACTGCTGACCAAATAAACAAATAAACAAATAAACAAATAAACAAATAAACAAATAAACAAATAAACAAATAAACAAATAAACAAATAAACAAATAAACAAATAAACAAATAAACAAAAAAACAAATAAACTTCTCAGAAAGAACTATACGGACCAGAAGAGGGCTGTGTACCCTGTAACTGTGACCCTGATAACTCCGCTGACAACCTCTGTGATGATGTCTCAGGACAGTGTCAGTGTGTGGAGGAGAACGGACCGTTTGTTGATGCTCAGAGGTGTGGAGCTTGTGGAGACAACACGGTGAGTCATTTACTTTTCGTTGTGGAGACTTGAGGCTTTAAAATTGAGACTAGGGTGATATATCATGTCTATGGAAACTGTTTGAATAGATGTACATTGTATATTCTAAATAAATCTTTATTATAAGATGCGGGCTATAAAACTCATTGATAGCATAAGGATATATTTTATATCAAATTAAAACGTCTCCTCAACCCCCAGATTCTTGAAAATGGAGGGTGCATCAGATGTCCAGTTGGAACCTATGTCGAGGACAACACGTGTACATACTGCGCTGCTGGAACCTTCTTCGAGGCTGGCTCCTGTGTAGGTTAGATAAATTATTGGAGAATTTATCAATTAATTATTTGATCAAGTTAAATTAAATGGTAGTGTTTCGATAATTATTGGATTACATTCTCATCAGATACTTTCTCTTGTTTTTCCTTTCCCTGGTACTTAAACCTACCATGCCACACTCTGTGTCACGTGACAATAATGTACAATGTACAATGTACAATGTACAATAATGTATTCTGTTCAGATTGTGAGTGTTATGAGGCTGGCTCCGTTGACAACAACTGTGACTCGGTATCTGGAGCCTGTACCTGCAATGACAAATACGAGGGACATGCCTGTGATACTTGCCAGGTAACATTTCTGTGACACTGTACATTGCTTCATTTAGTGATAAATAATCATAACACGTGTCTAGGAAGGGCATCCCCCCCCCCCCCCCCCCCCCCCCCAGTGCATTTGTATCACACTCTAACTACCACAGGAAGGATACTACGGCCCAGCTGACGGTTGTCTAGAATGCAGCTGTGTTCCAGAGAATTCCCTCTCACAGATCTGTAACAGGAACACGGGACAGTGTAAATGTAACCCTGATCTGGCTCCCTTCTTGGATCCGGTCACTTGTGAGACCTGCCCTGATAATCACGTGAGTTTGAGTTATTTTGATCAGGGGTGTAGGAAGCGGGGGGGCAGGGGGGGCCATCGCCCCCCCCCCCCCCCCCCATGAAATCTGGGCAAGGGGCCAAAAAGGGCCAACTTTTTAATTTCCCCGAAAATTTTTAAAAGTCAAAAATTTTCAAAGTTTTCTTGAAAACTACTTTTGTTCATGTTTCATGCTACCCTGATCATTATGAGTCAAAAATATTTTTTTCGGTTTTCGAACTTCGATATACGATTTTGGACTCGAGGGTTCCTCTTTGTGATGCGATCTCGGATGGCAGGCCTCCCCTTCGCAATACGAGCTCGGAAGCGGGAGCTCTGTTTTCAGAGGTACGTATCGAGAATGACTCGGACCGAAAATTTTCTAAGTCAAAATTTTGCAAAGTTTTTCCATGGAAATTACTTTTGTTCATGTTTCATGCTACCCTGATCATTCTGAGCCGAAAATATTTTTTTCGGTTTTCGAAGTCCGCACCTACATTCGAAAGGTTGTGGATGTAATACTGATTGGTTTCATATATTAATTATAGAAAACGTGATATTTGGCCCACAGATTTGAAGGAAAATACGCGAATTTAGTCCTCAGATTTAAAGAAAAATGCACAATTTGACGCGGAGAACTGCAAAAATCGCGATTTGTCGTGAGGCCAGGATCTGAAAAATTGCGACTTGTCGCGGCAAACGTGAAAAATCGCGATACCGCACATGCTGCAATTTCCTTTTGTCCTTACCCTCGAAATTCAAGCTTTGGCGCGAAGCGCCAAACAATTTAGGCTGTGGCGCGAATCGCCAACAAATATTTAGAATTTGGCCCCCCCATGAAGAAAATCATTCCTACACCCCTGATTTTGATTGTATAACACGTTATGTTAGTAGTTGGTGGTCATATGTTCAGTAAACATATCAAATTATTTAGAGGTCATGTCACTGAAAATGATCTGATCCACGCGAGATCCTCTCGGTGATGATATACTCGTGGATCGTATCCAGTCACCTGATCTCAGCACCTTATTGTCACGTATCAGGTAACACCCCACCATATCACCGTGTACTGAGTAGCTCAAGATGGGTGGCTCACGTCTCTTAGCTTGTTATGACAATACCATGTGATCGTTAGCTCAAGAATCAAGATGGGTGGCTCACGTCTCCTACCTTGTTATGACAATACCATGTGATCGTTTAGCAAGCTCAGAAGATGTATATAACCTCTCCACACGTGAGACACCTATACCATTATCTCTACTCCACTACTACTAATCTGCTGATCCACCACTTATCTTTCTCATGGACACAATTAAATCATCCCCTTCTGCTAACAGAGCAAAAATCCTCCAAAAGTCCTTTACTTCGAAAGGTCTCTCTCACAAATTGACGATGAAGACGACTTCTTCCAGCAGGACCATTCCTCAGCATGACACCTCTCCTTTTACCATCGTCTCTGGACACCATCATTCCCCTTATGTCAACGTACGACCCCGGAGAAATCTCACCCCGTCATCCCAGAGTCACAGAAGCTACGTTAATGTACAGCTGAAGAACCAAGATCACACTTACGTCAACATTGGTGAACTTTTGACCCCTCCATCCTCCCCTCTCCAGACGTCCCTCTATCCTGATCCAATGTTCACCCCCCAAGATCCAGAGTGCCTTTACCCCACCTGCCTGGCTCTCAACTACACCAACTACATGATGGCTACATCCCAGCTCCGACTTACCCCTGACACCCTCCTCCCACCTCCTGACTACGTAGACAACGTCATCGTTGCAGACCAGAACGACACAGTTCTCCACACTGTACCCCACTCTGCACCTACCTTCTACTCGCTTCCTCGCACTGTTTCCTGCTTCACTCCCCTTGCACGGCTGACTAGCAGACTATCCAGATGTTTGAGGAAGAGAAACAAGAGGAGAAGTGAGAAGAGGGGCCGGGTTCAGAAGAGGAGCCGAGTTCAGACTTATACTATAGAGGATTATGTTTTTACTAGATTGTGAATATTGACATGTACATATTATTTGTTTTTTTAATTTTATGATATAAATTAGTTGTTTATTGTTTACAAAAGTCACCTATTATATATCAAGTTTAACCGAAAAATTTTCTTAATTGTTTATTCCCAGGTGTTGGCTGATGGTGCCTGTGTTGAATGTGGTCCAGGACAATATGTTCAGGACAATGTCTGTGTTTACTGTGAGGATGAAATGTATCTCGGATCTGAGGGAGTTTGCGTCGGTTAGTCAAAAATACATATTTAAGCAGCTCTATTTGCCTTAATAAATTAGTTTTAGTACACTCATTCCTTTACACCACACGTCACTCCTTCCCTTACACCACACTCCTTCCTTTACACCACACTCCTTCCTTTACACCACACTCCTTCCTTTACACCACACTCCTTCCTTTACACCACACTCCTTCCTTTACACCACACTCCTTCCTTTACACCACACTCCTTCCCTTACACCACCCCTTCCTTTACACCACACCCCTTCCTTTACACCACACTCCTCCCTTTACACCACACCCCTTCCTTTACACCACACTCCTTCCTTTACACCACACCCCTTCCTTTACACCACACTCCTTCCTTTACACCACACTCCTTCCTTTACACCACTCCTTCCTTTACACCACACTCCTTCCCTTACACCACACCCCTTCCTTTACACCACTCCTTCCTTTACACCACACTCCTTCCCTTACACCACACTCCTTCCTTTACACCACACTCCTTCCTTTACACCACTCCTCCCTTTACACCACACTCCTTCCTTTACACCACACTCCTTCCTTTACACCACACTCCTCCCTTTACACCACACTCCTTCCTTTACACCACACCCCTTCCTTTACACCACACTCCTTCCTTTACACCACACTCCTTCCTTTACACCACTCCTTCCTTTACACCACACTCCTTCCCTTACACCACACCCCTTCCTTTACACCACTCCTTCCTTTACACCACACTCCTTCCCTTACACCACACTCCTTCCCTTACACCACACCCCTTCCTTTACACCACACTCCTTCCTTTACACCACAATCCTTCCTTTACACCACACTCCTTCCCTTACACCACACCCCTTCCTTTACACCACACTCCTTCCTTTACACCACTCCTTCCTTTACACCACACTCCTTCCCTTACACCACACCCCTTCCTTTACACCACTCCTTCCTTTACACCACACTCCTTCCCTTACACCACACTCCTTCCCTTACACCACACCCCTTCCTTTACACCACACTCCTTCCTTTACACCACACTCCTTCCTTTACACCACTCCTTCCCTTACACCACACCCCTTCCTTTACACCACTCCTTCCTTTACACCACACTCCTTCCCTTACACCACACTCCTTCCCTTACACCACACCCCTTCCTTTACACCACACTCCTTCCTTTACACCACACTCCTTCCTTTACACCACACCCCTTCCTTTACACCACTCCTTCCTTTACACCACACTCCTCCCTTTACACCACACTCCTTCCTTTACACCACACTCCCTCCTTTACACCACACTCCTTCCTTTACACCACACTCCTTCCTTTACACCACACTCCTTCCTTTACACCACACTCCTTCCTTTACACCACACTCCTTCCTTTACACCACACTCCTTCCTTTACACCACACTCCTTTCTTTACACCACACTCCTTCCTTTACACCACACCCCTTCCTTTACACCACACTCCTTCCTTTACACCACACTCCTTCCTTTACACCACACTCCTTCCTTTACACCACACCCCTTCCCTTACACCACACTCCTTCCTTTACACCACACTCCTTCCTTTACACCATACTCCTTCCTTTACACCACACTCCTTCCTTTACACCACACTCCTTCCTTTACACCACACCCCTTCCTTTACACCACACTCCTTCCCTTACACCACACTCCTTCCTTTACACCACACCCCTTCCCTTACACCACACTCCTTCCTTTACACCACACTCCTTCTTTTACACCACACTCCTTCCTTTACACCGCACTCCTTCCCTTACACCACACCCCTTCCTTTACACCACACTCCTTCCCTTACACCACACTCCTTCCTTTACACCACACCCCTTCCCTTACACCACACTCCTTCCTTTACACCACACTCCTTCCTTTACACCACACTCCTTCCTTTACACCACACTCCTTCCTTTACACCACACTCCTTCCCTTACACCTAATATTAACCCCTCTTCAGATTGCGAGTGTTCACTGCTGGGATCATCAGATAACGTATGTAACAAGATAACAGGAGTGTGCGAGTGTCAACGTGGCTACACCGGTCCCCAGTGTAACTCATGCGAGGTAATTATTCTTGAATATTGAGACGAATAATTAAACTTAATATAATTAAACTTCTATTATGTATCCGTTATATTCGACCAAAAGACATTTTTATTTTAAAAATGTCTTTTGTCTATCATAATCAGGTTCAGCACGCTAAAATACTAAAGACGATTTAAACATATATTTTGAAAGTTCCTGCTAAACAAACTTTTCGTATCACTTATATGTTTTAAATAATCCCCCTTTAAGCACTAAATTACTATTTAAATAAAACAATACCCTGTATCTACAATTTCCCTGATTCAGGACGGCTACTTCATGAACGGCGGAGTGTGCAGGGAGTGCAGGTGTCAAGTGGACCACACTGAGGGTGGTGATATCACCTGCGATAACAGCGGCCAGTGCAACTGTCTGGGTGACAGACCATATCAGAATTCCAAGACCTGTCGGCCCTGTCCTGTTGGACTTGTACTTATTGATGGAAGATGTGAGGAGTGTGACGATGGAACCTTCATCAGTGATTACCAATGTGTTGGTGGGTGCCCCTTTGTGCTATTGTACTTGATTAGTATTAGATCCATAATTTTTACACATAGCTAATACTTAATAGCTTTTGTCTAGAAATACATAAATAAGCTTTTCCAAACGTAAATTGTGATTACCCGGAATAGAAGATGATAATGAATAACGAATAAATATACGAAGCATAAACTTCAGTCTCCCTGAACTCCAAACAAAAAGAAAAAAGCGGAGATGCAGCTAAATTATTATATTATTTTAAACACAATTCCTCAGATTGTCCATGTAACGACAAAGGAACGGCGTCGTGTAACCCCCGGAGCGGAGATTGTTCTTGTAAACCCAACTTTACTGGAGAACTCTGTGATCAGTGCGTGGTAAGTAATCCCACAATCTGTTTGATATTTTAATCCGAGAAAATTTATGTTTATTTTATCTAAAACCGGTAATTGAACTCCGGATGACTGATTACAACTTATTTTCACAACAATAAATGCTTTTCTTGACACTCCATTTTGCCACTAGTTCTAACTGCTTTGTCACTCCATTTTACCACTAGTTCTAAGGGTTCTAACTGTTTTGTCATAACAACAGGACGGGTTCTACGGATCAGACTGTTCAGCGTGCAACTGCTCCCCTCATTCACTCGCCAGTGTTTGTGACAAGGAATCTGGCGCGTGCACATGTCCTGATAACTTCACTGGCAGACGATGTAACCAGTGTGTGGTGAGTAACTGTCACCTTTCTTTTTCCAGTTCTTATGTTACGATGAGGGTGCTCTCAGCTTTATGTGGTATGTTTTGTTCCAAGAACACATTCCTGCATACTGTTTCTAATATTTATATCCACCAGCGTGCGCTTTTTCGCATAGCGGGCTCTCACCAGCCCGCTGTCAAAGGGCCCGATATCTCTACAGCCCGCTCATGATATAGCCCGCTAACAAGTGACATTTAATTTGACCAGTAGCAATATAGCCCGGAGTTCTCTAAAATATTTTCAGTTTCTGTATCGTCTCCATGTGAAATTCCTTATTACACTGACTATATAATACATTTTATTTTTGTGTCCGGTAGGGCTGCTCATGCAGCTCGTGAGCAGATGACAAGATACTTTGATTTATATCAAAGTTATTATAACACACTACATAATACACATCAGCACTATAATCCCCCTATATTATTGATATTCATCGTCACTGACATTACATTCATTATTCCCATGGCCCAGGAATGCAGTGCATCTCCAGCCCCTATATATACGACACATCCCTTTATGATTGGCTTACATTGAACACGTGACGTGTTACCATGGTTACAACAATTAGTGGCGACCTTTTCTAGAGTTGACTTTTATACAAGCTCCATTGTTTATTTATAAAATTATATATTAACTGTAATACGCCCGCTGGTGGATATAATCCACATCACCTCGACCCGCGGGCGGAAAAATCGTATAGCACTCGGGCCCGATGGGCCCTCCGTGCTATACGAAAATATGTCCTCCTCGGGCTAGCGCCCTCGGGGACATATGAAATATTGCACGCGCGTGCGCGTGCAATATTTTGTTCCGCCCGCGAGTCTCCGGTCGCGGTGATATGTATATATATAACAGTTGATAAAACTTACAATAAAATATTACCAGGACGAATTTTACGGAGAGGACTGTGGTGCATGTGGATGTGACCCGGCGGCCCTGTCCCCAGTTTGTGACCAGTCTGGCCAGTGCCAGTGTTCCAGTGATGTACAGTTCTTCAGAGATCCCAGAACTTGTGCTACTTGTCCTGCTAATCATAGGGTGGATGGGGATAGGTACGTTTTAAAAACATGGCACAACAGAACATGTGTTAGCCTAGTAACTAGTCAACTGTTGACCAAGCTATTGTTGCAACTTTTGTTTTGTTTTGTCGCAGATCTGTCCAATTAAATTCGCAGCAGTTGACTTGATTTTGTATAGCACTAAATCACGTAAATACGTTCTTTAAAAAATATAATACTGTGCTGTCTCACTGATTACTGACATCCCTAGATGTGTCGAGTGTGAGAGAGGAACTGAGCTGGTTAACAACGTCTGTGTTTCTTGTGAAGACGGCGAATACGAGGTGTCTGGACAGTGTACCGGTACGTTCAGGGAACTGGGGTCAAATACAATACCTTATTATTCTCTCTCTCTCTCTCTCTCTCTCTCTCTCTCTCTCTCTCTCTCTCTCTCTCTCTCTCTCTCTCTCTCTCTCTCTCTCTCTCTCTCTCTCTCTCTCTCTCTCTCTCTCTCTCTCTCTCTCTCTCTCTCTCTCTCTCTCTCTCTCTCTCTCTCTCTCTCTCTCTCTCTCTCTCTCTCTCTCTCTCTCCCTTATTAGTCAAACAAGGGTATCTTACCTCCCCAATTATGCTAATTTCCAAGTGTTTAGAACAAAATATGATAAACTCTGATTGATAGCACCCTCTTAAAAGAGAGGTCATCTATATTATCCTGGTTATATTCGATTAATATTTCCTATCTCAGAGTGCCTGTGTAACCCATCGGGAACAGCAGCCTGTAACGCTGTATCTGGTGACTGCACGTGCAAACACTTCTACAACGGCGCGTTCTGTGACTCGTGCGATGATGGTCGGTATAATCCTGATGGAGGGTGTGAGTCCTGTGCCTGTGATCCCCTCAACGCTCGGGGTACCGCCTGCAATAAGAACTCCGGGCAGTGTGATTGTATTAATTCCAAGTAAGTTTACTCATCCGTTATTTTAACCTTAAAACCACATTAATGATATATCACCCCTATTATCAACACCATAATGCTACATAATAGTGACTATATTATCACCACAGTAACTATAGTAACCAAAGTAACTATAGTAACCAAAGTAACTAAATTGCTCACTATAAAATAACCACCCCTCAGTTACCTGGTAGATTCGCGCTCTTGCGAGCAATGCCCGGCTGGACAGTACCTGGCAGAAGATGGCACGTGCAGCACGTGCGCTGAAGGACACTTTGTTGAAGATAACGTGTGTAGGTTGTGCAGTGAAGGAAACTATCTGAAGTACGGAGAGTGCACAGGTACGGGTCTTGTCAGATCAACGCTTTTTGAAAAATATTTCACCTTGAATATACTGAGCTAAATTTCTAGAACATAATATAATACGTCACAGGTGATTATTGTGAAATAAAAAGCTTCACTTCTCGACAGAAAAAGAAACCCACAAATTATTTGTAACCGTATTTTTAACACTGCTCCTATTCTCCAGACTGTCTATGTAACCCTGTTGGATCGGAGACTCTGATCTGTAACCCAGTGTCGGGTATCTGTCAGTGTGACGAAGCACACGCCGGAGAGAAGTGTCAGAACTGTGCTGTGAGTCAAATAAAACAATTTAATCTCTTAATTTAATTTCAAACTCAAGATTTAATTTTTTAAATGAGAATAAGACACAAAATTATATTTTCATATTTTCATATTTTCTTCAATAAAATAAAATCTATAAAAGTCCAATTTTCACCATGCTTCATTTCAGAGCGGCTACTTCTCCCCCTCCCTGGACGTGCAGGAGTGTATTCCGTGTGGATGTGTGTTGGAAAATACTCTGGGTGGACAAGCTGGAAACCAAGGTTTGATTATTTGTGCAAATATTTACTTTAAATATTGATATAATTTTATTACAATCATACGATGAATATTTAAATTAACTTTTAAAATGGTATGGTGATAATGATAATTTTCTTCATTATCTTCGGTCTTGTCATTCAAGTTCGGATATTTCTTAACATTTACCCAAAATCACGTTTAACATAAAAGAGATGACACAAGTAAGATTAAGAAACAAGTTTCTATAACAATGTATCCACAGAGATGGGGATGAAAGAGTGTGGATGGCAGGGACAGTGCTACTGCAAAGGTGGACTCAGCTATGTTAACTCACGGACTTGCGAGACCTGCCCCGAGGGAGAGGTAACTAACGTTTACTAGATAGTAGATATCCCTAAATTATTTATCGACGACTAATTATTCATTTAATAGTTCAATTAATTAACCAAAGTACGACTTTTAAATCGTATGAAATAATGGTTAATATTAGACAACTTGAAAAATCGTTCTGTCAATTGTCATCTAGTCCGCTAATTGTAACGCTAATTGTAACGCTAATTACAGGTTGTTATTAACGGAGTGTGCGATAACTGTGCAGCAGGTACCTACTTCAGCCAGGGCTCTTGTGCCGACTGTTCTTGTGATGGTCGGGGGTCCGTGGACAACAACTGTGACGCGCAATCTGGCGCTTGCACGTGCAAGGAAGGAAATATAGGTAGGTTCTTGCAACCATTTACACATTTCTGAACTATCTTTGCACTTGTGTAATTTTTACTTTGTTAGTAAAGAATTGAAATATTTATTTGAGTATCTTTGAGTAGTTATCCTGCAAAATGTCAGCACTTGAATCTTAGTAACCTTCTCATCCGTTCCAGGTCACAATTGTGATGAATGCAGTGACGGTTTCTACCGAGACGGATCAGGATCGTGTGTAGAATGTGGTTGTGACGAGTCGGGCTCAACCTCCGGAGTTTGTAACAAGGAGTCCGGGCAGTGTCCCTGTGTTGGCGAACCCAGCTCTTACGACATACCCAGAACCTGTTTCAGTTGTGATGAGGGATCCTACTTCAACTCAGCAAGGGGGGTGTGTAATGGTACGTTCTTAATGCAACTCACAAGTTATGTGTTGAAATCTGAAAAATATCCGTTTACTGTTCATATCACGAGATTTCAATTTGCTTTCAAGAGTGTTCCTGCTAATATACTGAATCTGAGTTCTACTTCTAGTTATTTCTTGAAATACTTTCTATCATAATTCAACTTATAATCGACATATATTTGTTATTTGAAGCAAAAAGCAAACATCGTATTGGTCATTAACCCAATTTTCAATACCAGTCTGCAACTGTTACGTCGGAGGATCAGTATCAAGCACGTGCGACTCTGATGGACGATGCACGTGTCTCGCCAATGTGGTTGGTGCTAAATGTGACACGTGTGCTCCCGATCACTATGGTATCGACAAAGGAAGTGGGTGCGAGCCATGTGATTGTAACGCCTACGGTGTGGCTTATAAGTCAACTCTGAACGAAAATAGAAAGCGAGATCGTGAGTTAGATCAGAACATTATTTACGATTTGGAATTGAAATGGTTTCTTTTTTATTTATCCCTCTGGATAATATATTCTGCGTACTTGTTGGGTATATCATTAAATCTGCTCATTTCTACTATATTAGTGACCCTGTTCAATAGTTTTGAATTGCACCAGGTGACATGTCATGTGACCAGAGGACAGGACAGTGTAACTGTGCGGTGCGCATTAACGTCAGTCTCCGAGAGAAGTACACTCAGAACAGGTATGATGACCGACGTTGTGACGGCTGTCCAAATCTCCAATACCTGAACCCTGATTCCCGGTCGTGTGTTGGTAAGTGCTCACTTTTTACGGAGGTCTCTCTTGCCATTCGTTGATTCCTTCAGATCGCTAAACTCAGGTAGGTCGTCGTCCAGTTAGAGACAGCCCCCTTTATACTAGAGTTGGTACAACAATTAACCAATCAGCTGCCAGCAGTGACCATTAAATCAGAGCTTACTGTCACGTCTCAAAAGAGACAGATCGCTCTCCTCCCACTATTTAAACCTAGTCTATAATTCCAAGAAATAACTCCCATACACCCCAGATTGTAACTGCCATCCAGAAGGATCCAGAAACTTCCAATGTGACCTTTATACTGGAAACTGCGAATGTAATCCTCAGATTGTTGGACAACAGTGTGATACCCGTGAGTGTGATTTTAAACACTGTTTCACTGCGATTCTTACTATTGGTTACCCAGTAACCCACTTGCACTGCATCAAGCTTTGTCATTCGTTACACTTATCTCCTCAGGCGGTTGCGAGTGGGGAATATGGAGTTACGGAGAATGTGTGGTGACAGACTTTGAAAAGTGTAGAGGTAATAGAGAGAAGTCCCGCCAACAGTTCCCCTCGGAAGGAGGAGATTTTTCAACCATCACCAAGGTACATTTATTTTTAATGCTGCGGGCATAACAAATAACAATCCATCTCTTTTTTATTGTTAGTTTAGATATTTGATATTTCAAATATCGTTTTTATCATTAATCTTTGCTTTTTATTTTAAGTCCTTTCATTTTTCAGGTTGCTGATTGCGATGAAGTAGAAACAGCCAATTTCCCTTGCAGACAGCGTAATTGTAATGACAATTAGAAACTGCCAATCAAAACTCATCACTCTTTAGATCCTTTCACTCATTTGGGAATCTTGTTGAAGGAAGGATTAGGACCGTTCTTGACCTTGGGGTTATTTCCTGTACATTTTTATAGTTTAATTTAAGAAACCACCTAAATTTAGTTTTCACATAAATTTTGAGTCGTCTGAGCAAGACGTTGGTTTTTTTGCATTTCGTTTTTAAAACATCGACAGCCAAGAGGTGAATCGATTTTCATACTTCCCCGGAATTGAAACATGAGAGGAAGTATCAATATAAAATGGCGGAACTGTTGTATCAGGCTATAAAGTTTCCTAGTGTAATGATGCAAAGATGTGGCCCGACATGATATTCTGATATGATTACAAATTAAGCAATATGATAAGTGATAAAAATACGATGGTTCTAAATCTAAATAAAACTAAAATTGGAGGTTGCAACTGTTGACTCCAAAAAGCTGTTTGGCATATTCTGATTTATTTATTGCTCTCTTGTAAATAAATTTTTATATGGGATGTTTTTAATTGTTTATAAGTATTTCTCTACTCTTCAATAATGAACGCTTTTATTAATTACTAATACTAATAATACTATAATTTTTATCTTCATTCCCGAAACAAAGCTGGGTTAATTTGTGTAAATTTGCGTATTGAGGCTAAACTAGCCAAACTCAGCAAATTATGTGTTAATTGAAAGTTTTGACAATCTATCCACACTCATTGTATTGATATGATCGACTGACAGCATTACTATTAGGGGTCGTTCACATTCTTACCCTCCCCCCCCCCCCCCCTCCCTCCGTAATCAGCTTTAGTTTTACACATCTATTGTGTCAAAATTACACTATTCACTAGCGTAATCATTTGGAAACTCCCTCCTACCTTGGCCGATTACGTAATATGTGAACGACCTCTTATTACAGATATCTTGAATAGTTATTAGATATTGGACAACGGCAAAAGTACACTTCAAGTTCATATTTAATGATAACATGATGTAACCAGTAACGTATAACTAGTCGTAATCACAGTAATCATTGATAATGATAAAATTTGGTGCATGGCCGGCCACGCCGAGCTGCCAATTAAGTGCCAAAGGGCAAGGATTGACATTGTCAATTAAAGTTTTTCTTTTTCATCCAGTCTTTGGTGATCACTGAGATGAAGTTGACACCTCCTGTTGATGGTCACCTACAAGCAGGATTTCAAAGTGATATCTAATCAAGTTTCTCTCCAATAAAGTGGAGAAGAGCTTCAAGAGTATTCATTAACAGAGACTAACAGCATTATTGCAGAACAACCCCTTATTGCAGATATATCTTGAATAGTTGTTAGATATTATGGACATCATGAAAATAGCTCATCGAACGAACACTTCAATTTTCATATTATAATAACACGTAATGTATAAAAAGTCGTAATCACAGAAATCATTTGTGCCTAACCATGACCCAGAAAGCCTTACTGGCTGGCCGTGTTACTAAAGGTGGTATAATTTAAACAGACGGCTTGAACTTGCGCGAAGTCACGTGATACAATTCAGTCAATCAGACGACAGGAATCTGCAAAGTTAAACACTTAAAGTTTTGATCGGCCCAAAATGAGGCTTTTCTGGAGATTTTGAGATAACTCAAAATCTATGTTGTCCCTAATTTTCCTCCTGGAGAGGAAACACTATTTTTATAAGGCGAACATTTTGCAAAAAACCGGAAATCTCCATCTCTTTTACTTTCAAAGTTAGGCGCCAGCTTAACGGGTGATATACTCGTCGACGAGTGCAACTTTGTAGCGCGATGCACTACTGGGTCGCGCCGCGCATCAAATAATTCTTCTCGCAACCACTTCGATAGATCGGCGAGATGCACCACTGTGCCTCACCGAGCTGCGAAGGATTGACATCGTGAATCAAGTGCAACTTGGCGCGCGTCCTGGTAGGTTATACTTATAAACCCACAGGCCCCAGTCAGTAAAGCGCCACTCCAAGCGCAAGGGCTTTGGTTAATTAGATAAGAGCTTATAAAACCAGCCTTGGAGGGAGCTTCGACGCGCCGCGCAAACTAGCATTCTTCATTCTTGCTTCGCATCGCTCGAAGACTATAATATAACTATAATATAACTAGATCGTTGCTTTACAAAGCACCAATCTGGAAGGGTTGTCATCGTCAATTAAAACCGGCCAATAAAGTTTTTTGGTTTACTGGGCGGCAGTTGCGGTTAACGGGTGATACTCGTAAAATATTTGTTCCATATATTAGGACCGTCGACGAGTCCAACTCGGCGCGCGTTTTGGTAAGTTATAAACCTACAACAGCTGCGGTTTCTGTTACGTTTTACAGCCGCACTTGACCATTGTTAATGATCTGGCCCGGCGCGCGCTACTTCGTAGCTCTTGCCATAACGTTTCGAGAAGAAAGCGGCGCGCGCTACTTCGAAGAAACTTAGACGAGTAACATCCGTCAACAGCCGCACGAATGCGCGGCCCGGCTGTATTGTGGCTTTTGTCCCGATATTTGATACAAGGTAAAATTAAAATGAAAATGGGGGTCACGACGTGACACAACTTTAGCTTTTATTTATTTGACTATTTGTTTATGAACATACTATCAGCATGGAATCCATTGCCATTGGTAAGCTTAAGTTGGTCTGAAATAGAGTCCACCAATCTCTCTAAAAATATATTGACCAAATGTAAACCTTTTCACATAACCATGGCCTTCGCGTACGTACTAGTACTACTTATCATACGTTGTATGACCCGCCGCGCACGAGTGCGTGGCTCCCCTGTATCGAGTAGAAACTGTACTGTAGCATATATAATAGTAAAACGACAGTGGGGTAACGACGTGACGGCGCGTCATGTAGTACGTTGTAACACTGATAGTGATACAAGTACAACGTACTTATAGTTATACATGACGCGCTTGCTTTTCAAGGAGCGGACATGACAGCGGTGCTCCTTTGTCACCTTCGGCGCAGCGCGGCGGGCGTGCTATGCCATATGCGTTTTAGCGTGATGCATTATATACTGGGGTAGCGCCGCGTATTTAATAATGTTTCTCGCAATGTTTCGTTACCCAGAAAACATTACCGCCTGCTGGCAGCTGGGCTCGCTAGAGGTGCAGATAGATTTTCAACAGCACGTTTGGCGTCGCGCGTCACGTCAAGTTTACCTTTCGCACGCTGCATTGAGCCTAGTAGTCATGACAACGACATTACTTCGCAAAGTTTAAAAGCTGTGACCTTTTATTTAGCCAAAATCAAACTTTTCGGTTTAATTCAGAATCTAAGTTATCCCAAATTTGGCTCCTGGGGAGCCAACTTTAAATTTACGAGACGGAAATTTTGTTGAAAACCGGAAGGTTCTATCTATTTTACTTTTGGAGATATACCCCGGCCGGTAGGGTTTCCTGGGTAGATCGGCAATGCACCACTGGGCCATGAGTGAGCTGCGATGTATTACTATAATTGACATCGTCAATCAAGGCGCGTGCTACTGCTAGTGCTAGCTTCACATAGCCATGTGTCTATGCGTACTGCGTGATGCTCTTGCTACTGCAAGCGAAAGGGCTCTCATGGTTAATTAGAGCAAACTGCTATCCACTAGCGCTAGCGCTCCCATTAAGTCGAAAGCCCAAATTTTTAAAATTTGTTGTGAAAAGGCCCTAGTCATAACGCATAACTGATGACGAAATAATCAATTAGGGCTAGTGCAAGCCAAACACAAGGATCTTTCGTATAAAGATCATATGCCCTCATGCCGTCCAGTCGCTAGACAAGGTCACCTAACTAAGCTCTAAGTGACATTAAGTGACCCGATGAGCCCCACTTCTTGTCAAATTAGCTTTTGCATTTTGAATTACGACCCAATCATGAGGTAAAAAGTATAACTATTAACTATAACTATTAGCTGTATTTTAATGGCAAAATACAGCTAATTTTAGTTCATTAAAATAGTTGTCATACGTTGTATGATCCGATACGACCGTGGGGGTCACGACGTGATACAAGGGGTCACGACGTGATACAAAGATGCCTTTATGGATTTTGGAAATCCCCCATAATAAGGTCCCACATAATGCCAAAAAATATAACTTTGAATGACAGGCTGAACGCCCGAGAGACTAAGTAAGTACTATGTGCTAAATTAAAGACATGATATCTGAGTTAAGTAATAACGACAATTTTAGGGGTTGGGACAGGGTAATAGTAGGGGCGGGGAAAATTTTTGAATTGTTATTTTTGTTCGTTTATTTGGAACACTTACTGGTTGAGAAGCAAAGTGGAAATCCACTAATTGGATGGACTTGACCATGATTATGACAAGTCTCCTCGATGCCTCCCTCCTCGCTGCTTCCTTCCTCGCTGCTTCCGTCATCACCGCTTCCGTTGTCGAATTGGCTACCTAAAAAAGTATCATATTTATTTGAGGATGAGTCAGGTTTTCTTAAAATGTACTTGTTGTTGGTTATTGGTTAACGGTAACGTTCGATGTTGTTGGTTATTACTTTATTAATGTTTGATGTAGTACTACATACTAGTAGGGGCGTCATTTGGTCACTAAAAAACGTGAAAACAGTATTCCTCGTTTATACTCTATTACTATCAGCATTACCTTCTTTCTCCCATATAGCAATCTCAGGTATTTCCAAATTATTGTTCTTGTTCTGTATTCTAACGGTGTCGCCATATTTACAGTCAGAAAAAGAAGGAAGATTTTCAGGAGTAGCACCCTCGCTATAAACTGTCAAGGGGAAGGCGCCACAATATTGACCTCTACAATATGAGCAGTCAACCTCGGTGCAAGTCCAGGTCCAACGGGCTTCAATTTTTCCATTGACATCGTTCCTTATGAGTGACTTTACTTTCTTAACACACCGCATCTGGTCTAGCTTAAACTTTATCCAACATACTCCGCCACTGTCAGGAGAAGGTCTGGTTTTGGTCATGGTCGCCATATCCAGGTCTATAGCAAATTTAGCAGCGTACTTTTCCTCGTTATCTTTAAAAGAGCGGGAGTGTTCGGCTTCGACTGGTGTAATCTCACCAACTTTTCGTGTCCTCAAATCTGAAATGTTCAAATTACTTATACTTATAGTTATGTGTCATGACTATGTGTTATAACGCTGACGTGCTATTAAATTTAAAAATATGTCAAAATGCGATCAACTACTGCAACATGCATGCAATATGAGTGATGAAAATGCCTTACTACTGTCTGTTCGCAATTGTTACACTTCACCTTGCATAGTACATCAGCACAGCATCTTGATATATATATAATAATTAATATATATATATATATGTGAGGAAACGATCAGTAGATCAGCAATACTGGGTAAGAGCTAGAGATAATTATAAAACTATAATGTCACATACCACTCATGAGTTCTATGTAAGCTGGTAGGAAAAATAATTTGAGCATCAACAACAAATATTTCGACATTTTCTTTGTAAATCTAAAAATATGAGTTGTTAATCTAATATTTAACATAATTTAATAAAGCGAAACGACATAATACATATATTCGATGCCATTTTACCATGACACCACGATTTAATAACTTAAACGGCTTTCCACAAAAAATGGCTATTATTTCGCTAACCCACAAATTATCACGTGAC